ACTATATAGATTTGTGAACCTAAAAAAAAAACTTAAAATATTTACAAGTACATTAAATAATGAGGATAGAGATTGGAACATTAAACTTGTATTAAATAGTTGAGTTATACTCAAGTTAATGAGTGGATGAATATTAAGTGATAAAATAATAATAAAAATCTTTTACGTTTGAAGGTTCCTCAACTAAAATAAATATTTAGAAAGTTTATTAAGGAGAATGGTATTCTTTTTTAAATTCAAGAACTAAAGTAGAACTTCCTCCATGTCGATAATCATTCAACTATTCCACTAACTACATCTACCGGTTTAGTGTCGAAATTTGTGGAGACGTGCTATGTGGTCAAACAACGGTTGTAATAGTCATACACATAAATATCAAAAGTAACTTCCATTCTCAGGTACACGTAGGTTTGTTAGCAAATTCCATATTGAAATAGTTTGGTTTGAGACTAGCTTTACCTTTGGAATGCTCACATTTATTTTGCAAGACTCGGGCATGGGTCCTGATCAATGTACTTGGTATTAAATGGTTTATGTTAAGTATGAAATTTGTGTTAGAATTTGGTCGAGACTAAATTGGTCTCTTTGTATAGAGACCAAAAATAAAAAATAATAAAAAAAATAAAAACTGAAATAAACAAAAAGTTGAAAATACATGTGCTTATTCAAAAAAAATATATGAACCAAAATATTATTTATATGTAAAAAAAGTGAGAATGTGAAAATACAAGGATACCCCTTGGTCGTTGGAGATATCACATCAAGAGAACCACGAGGCAGGAATCAAGCTGAATGTTTGTTTGTCAGTTGTCAGTGATCTCGAGTCGCGACCCTTTAGTTCAACTTATTATTGTTATTAATTATTTTTTTACTGACCCATCCATTCAAAATATATACATATATATTCAAAAAGCATCTTTTTTTTTTTTAATACAATTACAATTATTAATCCTATGCTTTTGTTACACCGTTTCTCTTATAACATGAGTATAACTTAACGATAAAAAACGTATACTATTTTTTTTAGAGAGGAGAATCCCTACCTTCCATTAAAAAAACAAATTTGCACCTCAAATGTGTTTAGAGTTCAATTCGATGAAGTGGAATACTTCAACTTTAAAATTGAAATGGACAAACTAAGAAGTATAATGGTTAAAGTAAAAAAACCAAAATTATATTTTTGTTGAAAAATGGTACGAGAAAGTGGCATGTTGTCACAAGGTTAAAAATCCTATAAAATTTATCGTCCCGTGCGGCCTAAGGACACTGCCTTAGTACAACCTACCACCTTTATATCCAGGATCCAGACATCACAGAAGAGTGTAACACACATAGTTGGAGTACCTCAACTTTATTAGCTTCAACGACAAGGACTACAATGTGTGTAAGATTGTTGCTCTTTGATTTATTCCGCACACTTCTATGATGTCTGGATCCTTGGTATAAAAGTGTTAGGTTGTACTAAGGTGGTGTCCTTAGGTTGCACGAGGTAAAAATTTTATGGGGATTTTAGCCCCGTGACACATGTCTATTGGGTTATTTTAGACAGATGGTGACAAAATGCAGAAAATTGGATAAATAAGGTGGCACATGCAACATATTCTCTTTTTGAAGTAGTATCGTAAATCTCTTTAATAGACCATGTCATTCTATTTTGTCAAACTATCTATTTTTATCTAACACGTCGTTTCAAATCAACCAACATCTATTACATAAACATGCTACATCATCATTTAGTTAAAGTTGTCAACAACCAGAACAACATAAAATCAAAATTCAAAGTTAATAAACTCAATTGAAACTTTCTAATACTTTTGTTCGACATACTAGTTGATACTATATTCCGAACCGACATTGTTCATGATGAAGAAGTTGAAAAGGTTCAGAATGAAATGAAATGACTACATCTAAGGAAGGTGAATTCCCAAGAGTCAAAAGATTTTTTTTAAAATGTAAAAAGGTTTCCTCTATGCTTTTTTGTCAAATGATTTTGAGTGAAACTTTGAAGATTATAAAGAGGAGAAAAATTAAGGCTAAAATCATGGCCATTTGGTGGTTGTACCATACTTCTTTAATGGGTGTCCTTTGTTAGAAAGAGAGCTGTCCCATCCCCTCCCCTCCCCTTTTCACTCTTTTTTTCTGAGTGATTTCATTTCACACATTTCCAAGACGGGTTTTAAGTTCGCACTTTAGTGATATTTATTTTCGATGAAGAGGTGTTGAGTTCGAACTGAAAAATGAGGAAGAAAGAAAGAGATCCCAAATTGTTGTATGTAAAAAATAATTAAAAGAAAGTTAAATTACAAAATTAGTTCCTGAACTTTTAGAGTTGTGTCTAATAGGTCCTTGAACCATCAATTTTTTATCTAATAAATTCCTAAACTTTAAATTTTTTATTTTATAGGCTACTGGCTTATTAGAAATTCACGTACCTATTAGATGTTAAATTGAAATGTTAGTGTCCTATTTAACACAAAATTATTTAATTATTATTATTTGGCGAATAGGTGCATAAATTTTTTTTAAATGTTGAATCGGTCATCGACGTATTAGACACAAAATTAAAAGTTATTTGTTACACATGGTTAAAATTTAGGGATTTATTAGACCTAGAATTGAAAGTTTAAGTACCTATTAGTTATTTTTAAAATTTTAAGGACATATTAGACACAATTTTAATAATCTATAATCTTGAGATGGTAAAAGAGAACTATTTGGTACCTCAAGAGTTGTTTCTCGTTGGAATAATACTAGAATACAATAAAATTAATTAATGCAAACCAAACAGAAAATTGTTTCTTTCAAACATTTTGTTTCCTTTGTAGAGCTTATGAATAATGAATAATCTTCATCCAATATAAAATAAATTATTGACCTAATTAAACATCATGTAAGTAATTATATATAGAAAAGACCAAAGTGAACTACTAATTAGCATATATTTCCAATCAACAAATTAAATTTTCTCTCTTATTTACTACGGCGGCGACGAAGAATCAAATTATCACTATATTTATTCCTTTTTCTACTTCTTCTTCCAAGTGCAGGATAACCCCAAGGGGTTGCGGGTTTTTTTCTACCAATTGGGGCCCTCCCGGGGGATGGTCTACAGGGTTCATAACTACTCCTCTTACTACAGGACGCTTACCTAGCCAACATTTAGATCCGGCTCTACCCAAACTTTTCTGGTTTACCCCAGTATTCCCCACTTGTCCGACTGTTGCTGAGCAATTTTTGGAACCTCCCCAGAAGGTAATTTTAATGTGGCCGATTTCCCCTCTTTTGCAATCAGTTTCGCTACAGCACCTGCTGCTTGTGAGCCACAGATTGCACTAATTTTTATAGAAGAGAAGAAAAAATTTTGAAGGAAGAAAATTTTATCGCAAACATTTGATTTTGTTTTTAAAAATCATATATTTTTCAATTTTAGTAGTAGCTTAAATAATCATATATGCAGTAAGATGTCTTCCTACTTTTTTATCTCTATATAGCCATACTTTCAAATGCGAAGCTTAAATTCTTATATTTTAACTTTGTTTTGTTTTAGTTTTTTACTTACAATTTTAGTTTTCTTTTTCCTTTATTAGAAATACAAGGAGGAGTTGAACCTCTGACTTCAAAATGTCGATTACTGCTCAACCTTTCTCATGTTGGCAACAATTTTAGTTTTTGTTGGCAAAATTTTAAACTATTTAATACTATAATACATCTTAATAAACTTTTTTTTGTTTTGTTATTAAATTTTTTTTTTTTGGAGCATTTCTCGATTTGTGCAGCCATCCTTGGGCACAGGTCTACTCTATATCGTTCCAATTGTACCAATGTCCCCAAAGGGACGTCATTAAATAATATATAAAACAAAGAACCTTGGAGAAAATTAATCTTTAATCTTTGTTGATGCATGAATACAAAATTAAGTAAACATAACTATATAGTAATCAAAATACTTGAGGGTAAGTATGAGAATGGGACAAGGAATACATTTACCATCCTTCCCCATAATTAAAATTAAAAAAGGGGAAAAAAAAGCAATATCATCAACTTGTCCATGATGCCACATGATGCCAACTCTAATTAAAACATATATCCTCAATCAAAAAAAAACTTGTACATGATTAAATCAAATCATCTCAATTATCTTCTCATAAAGTTGAAATAAATGTGTCTCACACCATATTAAACAAGTTTAGACATTATTTACAACAGACAATAATAGGTGAAAAAATTTATCTAATGTGAATCTTATTCATTGGAATTTTAGTTATAGAACTTTGAATTACAACCCAATTTAATCCTTGCTATTAAGTTTAAGTAAAATATTCAACATAAATTGGACATGTATTCTATTGTTCACTTAGATTAACAAATATCTAAATAGACCAATATTTGAAGTTGCAACAAGTTACACCAATGGAAAGTTAAAAAGAACTAAAATAAAACAATTAAAAGTTTAAGATAATAATCATTTTAGTCCCTCAACTTTTGCACAACAATTTTGGTCATCTCTAGTCACCTAATACCCCCAATTTGCCCAAACAAAAGACAATCCAATTGACAATGACTTGGAGTCTCTTCGTCATACCAACTAAGAGACCTAAAAAATTTGAACTTTCTGGTAAGCTTAATACCAAAAATCTTTTATGTCTCTAAGGTTTAGACTTTATGGCAGGCATCACACGTATAGGGGAGCTTACTTCCAGTTATCCATAAATAAATAAAAAAAAAAGCCCCGCCCTAGTCAACCTATGAGACTCCAATCAAGTACACATCCCAAAGTCATATTATAAATCTATTAGACAATTAAGAGCAAAATAATTTTTTAAGGTAAAAAACTAAAATAGATATTTCAGAAGTCCAAATACTAAAATAGAATAAAATTATGGACTAAAATATACATTTTTTGAAGTTAAAAAGTTAAAATAGAAACATTCTAAAAGCCGGGACTAAAATGAGGAATTATACCCAAAAAAATAATTTTTTAAAGAAAATCTAACACAAGCGAAAGGAAGAATCAATTTCCTTGGACTATATAATCAGAAGAACACAAAATAATATGGACTAGTGGAGTAATACAATTTCCTTATAAATGGAAGCTCCAATTTCTTAGTAGGGAAGAGCAAAAACTCCCATCTAAATTCCAACTTCTAATCCTCTCTAACCAGGGAATACCTTAAGTTAAAACAAAATCACTTTTAACATTTACCTCAAAGCAGCAAAACTTCCAAAGCCACAACAGAGGAGGACCCCAACTATGGTGTGCCCATAGTCGTTGCTGGCATTTTGGCTTTACGAGACCGCTTTCGTTTCCGTGTCCTGCTTTCAGCAGCACTATCATTATCCTTCTTATGCTGCATAAGGAGGATGGATATATATTCATACCAACATTAAAATGCAGTGCAAAGAAATATAAGGTAATTATCTTGTGTCTAGTGTGCAAGATGAAACTAAAAAAGATTGTGAACTTTTTTTACAAGAAAACCAAACAAACAAAATACTCCAGCTGGGATTGATTATGGAGAGAGAATAATTGCAATCTAGGAGGATTGAGCTTCTGATGTGATCTATTAGATGCAATAAATGAATAAGATCAACGAACTCTCATTGATCCAAATGTTCTAACGAAGAGCTTTCCTCACATTAAAAGATGAACTTTCTGGTTTTACCACCAAGAGAGAAGCTTAGAAAAGAAGTAAAAAATCTCATGAAGAAGCCTAAAGGTCTTGGATAGATGATTCCAACTAGCATAAAGCAGCCATGCATAAAAATGCAGTTGAGGACTTCACAATCAACAATCTTGGTTTTCGAGTTCAAAGAAAACCTTACCAACTCGACTCCAAGAGCTAACTACTAATACAAGTTTAGCAAGACAAAACTTCAAATAAAAATGTCGCTGTGGAGAAGTAAGGGACTATTTTAAGGGTTTTCTCTTATGCTACATAAGACGTCTCCCTCAATTTTCAAAAACAAATCTCAAAGGAAAAATGTTGGAATATTGAATTTTTTAGATAATCTATGATTCACGTGAACCAAGTAGCCCCAAAGAGTTGAATCTCTGGTCTCCCATACGTACTCCTACATCATTTTTATAGAAACAATTCTAGTAAAAAATTCAAATTGTGTTATTTAGCGCTATGCGCTTTCCACATTAGAAAACAACTATGGATCAACTTAATAACTACTGAGAAAAAGGCTATACTATATCAAGTCAAAGGAGAGACACAAGTCTCAAAAGAATCAAAACTCAGTATATTTCTGTTATGACTAGTGAAAGCAATGCCAGGTTCCCCTGGCCATGATTGAATGGTCATCTTATCTCCCCTATCCTTTGTATTGGTCTATAAAACACGGACACGGCAAAAAAGGAGGAGTGTCTGTGTCGGACACGTGTCGGACACGGATACATCCGGACACGCTCCGGACACGTGTCCGACACGCAATTTAAAGTGTCCGAATATTAAATTTTTTATTTTAATTTCAGACACGTGGGGACACGTTTTGGACACGGGAGGGACACGCCAGATAAAAAAATATTGTTTCCTTAGCCCAATTTTGGAAGTCCAAGAAGTTTGGCTGAAATCTCAACAACTTAAACTACAAAAAAAAAACCCTAAAACGCTACCTAGTGACCCACCCTTCTGTTTGTGTGAGTTAAATTAAATAAGCTCTATTCTTACTTCCTTTTTTCCCTAATTTCATATGAATTAAACTGGAGTAGAATATGATGTACTAAATTAGGATGACAACTTCGACCCAATAATCAAATTCAAATCCTTCTCTAGGATTTTTTAGTGGATTACATTTACTATTTTTATGCTTTTTAGTGGGGTACATCTTCAACCCAATAAATTTACTTGACATTTATGTTTTTTAGCGAAGTATATTTAGCATTTTTATGTTAAATTTACCTATATCCTAAAAAAAATAATAAATAAATAACGTATCCCCAGCGTGTCCGTGTCCTAGTTTTTTAGAAATTGACGTATCGCCGTGTCCTGTCGTGTCCGTGTCCGTGCTTCTTAGGTATTGGTTTTGATTTTATTAATGAATTTTGCCTCCGATCCGTTTTCTGGATCAGACACTTGGGTATTCAGAAGTACTAAGATTATATAAAATGAAAACTACCTTCTCTGAAACCGGATGTTGGCTTGGATTCTCCTTTTTCTTCTTACACGAAAGAGGATTCGGACCCTGAAGAATTTTGTGGAGAGGTTAGAAAATAAAAGTAAATGCATAGATCATGAAAATGTATAATAAACATACTAAAAGCAGCAGCAGAATACCACCGTGCCTCATTGCATAATTACTAAATCAGTGGTAAACTTCAACCATCAAAAAGTAAATAAAACAAACACTACACAGTTTAAATGCTTCAACATTGAACATTGCAAATCTGAAAGCAAAATTGTCAGACAGAATTTCACCATGAACCAGTCCAATCCCACATCCGAATAGAAATCAAAAAGTACATGTCAAGAAGAAAATCATTTAGTTTCATTAATGTAATGTAATAAACTGGAAAAATGTCTCTTTATCATCATCTGCAAGTGTCGGAATGTATTAAAACTCAAGAAAAGTTTTGTTCATGTTATTATATTAGAGTTAAGTTTTGATCAGTCATAACCAATTTGAAGGTTTAAGAAGTTTTCATATCAAATACTAGGCTAAAAAGCTTGAAAACCCAAGAGTGTGGTCAAAGCTGTGATAATATATACATGCATTCGACAATTTGACACCAGCCAGAGTACACATCACAACGTCATACAATCATAGTCAACTGAAATTTTGTTCAATCAATCCCTTTTTAGTAAACAGAATAAAGTTAAAAGCACTCCCCAGAAAGATAATATAAAAAAACACACTCTTTCATTCCTTGTTATTTTAATATAGAAAGCTCAAAATATAGCCGACTACAACATCAAAATCAAAAACTAGTAAAGGAAGTGATAGATCAACAAAGTGAAGAATCAAAGCAGAAATCAAGTCTCAATGAAGAGAGAAAATGCCACTATAGACAGTACCTTTGCTTTCTTTCTCTTAAATTGAATTTTATCCTTCAGTTCATTTGAAGTGCTTCTCTTTTTCATAGCTTGTGTCTCTAAATTTTGATCTCCCAAACCCCTATCTTCATTAGTTTCCTCAGTTTCCACTCTGTACTTCCTTTTCTTTAATAGATCACGTTCCAGCTCAGACATGTGCAGTCTTTCTTCTTCTGAAGATTTGACAAACTGACGTTGCAAGACAGATGGTTGCTCCATGAAAAGTGCATTTCTCAGACCATATACGAGTGGAACCCCAGGTATCTGCTAACGTATACATAAAAGAGTTACAGGTTGACATGGCTTCAAGTTAAAGATTTCAGCCCTTCACATATTCATCATCCATATAAGTGGTATGGAGAATTCAAACGAAACATAATAAAATAATGGCCACCAGTAATAAAAATATCGCTCCAGATAAACATAATTCGACTTCCAAGAGAACTTACTATTAATTTCACACTACATTTTTATATACACTAAATTTATTTGTAAGAAGTTATTTTATTTTTCAAAAACAGAATGAAACTTGTATATAAAAAGAAAGCAGACATCAGAGACCGCTCATAAACTAGAAGGTTGGAAAAAGATCATAATTTGCAATTGTGAAATAATCAAATCTGAAACAAATGAAAGGAGTATAATTGTAACAGAAAATTACTATTCATGGGTATGAGCTCGTGAAATACACTGACCTCTTGCAGCTTCTTCCTGAGATCAGTATCCTGAGTGGCAACAAAAAAATGCTCAGCATTTGACTCGCCAATCACGTCACTGATGCATGCCTCAGCACTCTTTCTTCTCTCATGGTCACATCTAACAACAAAGTGTAATTCCAACTAAGATGAGACGGGATTGGATAAGCAAATTAATACTGCCCCATATTTATAGATGCTGATACAACAAGAACACGACAAAGTCAAGATTTGACACCAGTCATCGAGAAGAGAAACTATTCAAATTCAAGGATGGAAATAAGCCTGTGGCTGACCTAGCAATAAGCAGCCTACTAGCCGCATCAAAAGCTTCTGAATAGGATTGGCCAAGAGCCTTCAACTCTGAGAGTACACATCTACAAAGCCAGGGGACAAAGAAAAATTACATTTCAAATGGGCATAGGAAGAACATGCGGTGATTGACTCAATAAAAGGAACAGACCTGGTAGTGAAAAGCTTGATTGGGCCACCAATTGTTTTGGCAAGGGCATTATCAGCAGGCACTATACGATTGGAGAGAAGGTGATGCACAAAAGTTCCATCACATAGGACTTTAAATGGCTGCCTGAATCCAAAACATGCAGCGTAAAATCTCACAACTCTCCGGTGACGCTTTTGCCTTTTGAATCTCATCTATCAAAAATCAACATACAAAGCAGAAAACAAAAAATGCAAAATAAGTTGTGATAAAAACAGTAAATGCAAAGAATTGACTCATGCCAATTCCCACCATGAACCTATTATATTCATGCACTATCTGAAATTTGAATAGCTTAATTCAGCAATATGAGCATATGAGTTCTTTAACAGGACTATAGGAAACTCAACATATTTGTAATTTGGATCAAATCATTCCATTACGACATTAGTAGTCTTCAGTGTACAGTCGTCACAAACAAACAAAAAAAAAACCCAAATCATAACACTATGTGGCTCACGTTCATATGGCAAGCGAATGCCATAAGCTTCAAAAAAAAAAAACATGAAACCCTCAATCAAAATGGCAGCCACTGCTTTCATTATTCACCAAACTACTACGCAGTGATCGAGTTCACAGAATTAGCGATTCTACAGCGAAAATAATCGGGAATGCGAGATTTGATGGGAAAATACCGTGAGAGAGAGGAGAGGTTCTTCTGGTTCCTGCAACTGGCGATGAAACTCTGGATTCTAGCAATTGAAAACAGTGAGAGGAAGCGTTTTCGTGCAATTGCCAATTGAGATCGGATAAGGGCCGGAGCGCGAGCTCGAATGCAATGGTCGACTGTGGAGTCGAGGGTGGCAAGGGTTTCAAGGGCTTATGGAACTGAGTTTTTCCATTTTTTCTTCCGTTTTAATTGTTCGGTTAATTGTCATCAGTCGGACCGAACCGCCCATAAATCCGACCAACCGGAGTTGATTTGATCGACGTGACCGGTTTTTTAGGTTTTTGCCCCTATTGACTTACCTTTGATGAGGTTTAACGTACGTGTCTATTTGGTCCCTGTAATTTCAAAATGAACAGTTCTGGTCCTGAAGTTTGAGGTAGGTATGAATTTGTTAAAAATGCAACTTTTTCAGTGAGTATAGCTTTTTTCGGAATCTTTATAGCGTCTTTCTTCTATAAGCCCGCTTATTCATCTTTACAAAATTTGAATTTTCGTAATTCATTTGTTAAAAGTTTTACTAAAATTTTTTTTTTTGAAAAAATTATAAATATAATATATAATTGGTCATATAATCGTGGTTACATAGATGCTTTTTATAGACTATCCTTAATTGGTGGTATAAGAGTATTAGCTGAATTAACTTATTTTTTTGATCGACGGGTAATTGATGGAATTACAAACGCGGGGGGTATTTTAAATTTTTTTGTAGCAGAAAGTATTAAATATGTAGGAGGTGGTCGAATCTCCTCTTATATCTTGTTGTATTTAGCTTATGTATTAATTTTTATATTATTAATTTACTTTGTTTTTTTCTAACAGCTTTTTCAAATTTATCATTTTTTATATATCGAAATGGACGATTCCATCGTTTCTTGGTCCTTGAAGTTTCAAAATGAACACTTTTGATTCTTGAAGTTTAAGGTAAGTGTCAACTTGAAGTTTTAAAATGATCATTTTTGGTTCCTGAAGTTTGAGAAATAGTTCTAAATGATCTTTTTCTTCACTGTTAATTAACTAATATTAAAACGACGTGACAAATTATCATTAAATTGTTTATTGTAGTTGTTGATGTGACAAATTATATTAATTAAATAATATATATGTAGGTGAGGGTGCTTACTCCTTCCTCTACTCATCTTTTCCTCTCTTTTTCTTACCATTTTCCGGCGACCACCACGTCTTTGTTGCCGCCGTCCGCCATTCATACCGGACATATATTATTTAATTAATATAATTTGTCACATCAACAACTATAATAAACAATTTAATTGCAATTTGTCACGTCGTTATAATATTAGTTAATTAAGAGTAAAAAAAATCAGGGACTATTTAGAACTATTTCTCAAACTTCGGGACCAAAAGTGTTTATTTTAAAACTTCAGGGACCAAGTTGACACCTACTTTAAACTTCAAAGATCAAAAGTGTTCGTTTTAAAACGGGGACGAAGACACCTACCTCAAACCTCACTAAATATATTTTGCCCCTAATTTTTTATTAAGAGGGATTCGTCTAGCTATCCAATTGAATTTTATTCATCTGATCTTCGAATCTAACTCTCCTTCTGTAATTAATTTGATTGTTGGAGTTAATGAAATCTTTAGTGAGGATGTTACGAGCAAATACTTTTTCTTAATGAAATTTCCTTTATCTCGAAAAAAGAAGTTATAATTTAGTTATTTAATGTTTTTTAATTATACTTTTATCACACACAAAATGAAAAATTTTTATGAAAGTTCATAATCACAGTTTAAACTTCAAATACCTATGCCAATCTAAGCATCATGGCTGGATTTACTTCAACTTTGTAAATATTACTTAAAATTTTATCTATATATCATTTTAAACTAGCTAGGAATCTAGATTTGACATTATACAGATTCAAATATGAATTAAACGTGTCACGTTATATATATATATATATATATATATATTTTTTTTTTTTTNGTTATATATTGAGCAACATTTGAGATAAAATGTAGATTATTTCAATATGTTTTATTTTGATTCACATGTTTCCTACAACACATTCCCGATGAATGAAATTCCAAAAAGAATTTGATTCACATGTTTCCTAGAACACATTCCCGATGAATGAACTTCCAAAAAGAATATGCACCATGTTCGTATAAATATGACATTTTTTTAGGCTTCTCTGAATTACTTAGTTCTATGCTTATACTATTTCATGATTCTTTAACCTTTTATGTTTACAGTTTTAGAACTTTTCAGTATCGATTCATATATACGTCCCTTCTTCTAGAAACCCCACATGTCGCATATCTCCCACTTTCACTCCATCCGTCCCGAAACCAAAACCTATTAAAAGAGGTCTCACTCTGACAAACCAAAACCTATTAAAAGAGGTCTCACTCTGACAAAGGAAAAAAAATAAACATGAGAACAAAAAATAAAGGGAAAAAATGGCACACAAAATCTCAACATTCACTTTCATATGAACAATAAGCTGACAACATTTACCTTTCATACATATGTGAAGAAAAAAAAATTGATAAAAAGAATGATTCAGCTGTTTCTTTTTTATACACTTAATAACAGCTGAGGTCTCTTACTCTTCTTCTCTGATGTGATGGAAAATGAAAAATGAAAAAAAAAAAAGAAAGAAAATGAATATTTAAAAAAATAATAAAGAACTGAAAAAAATAATCTTATTACACATATACCACACATTTGGCAAACAAACAAGGATGTGATTTTTTTTTCCCTCTTTATTTTGAGGCTTTGAATAACTGGCTTCCAAGAGTAACAGTTGGGCTTCCTTCTCCCATTACTGTTGTCAAGTTCATCTCTTTCTCCAGTATCCTTTCAAGCTCCATCACCACATAGCTCATCACCGGCCGCCTCTCGCTCGACGACCCGACACATTGAAGTATCAACTGCATCAGTTCGGCCATGCCTTCGTCAGTGAAGCTCTTCCCCAATCTTGGATCTGCAATGCTAGCAATGTCGCTCTTCTTTTGATTGGTTTGTATCTTTAAAACAGGCATGGAATGGAACCCGGTCTCAGAATCCGAAAAATGAAAAAAGGTTGAAAGATAACAGTGTAAAAAAAAAGAATGTCCGATTTGGAGTTCCGCCTCCAGTGCCATATACTAACTAGACCTATGCTAGCCTAAAGTTTCCTGTTTGCTTTCATTAACCTTCACCTTCTGTCCCGAGATGGCAGTCGAATTGATAAAAGCAAACTATGTCCTAAAAAGATACTGAAATCGATGATCTAATAAGGAAGGATCGATACCGAGACTGTTTAGAGCTAGACATGATCAGATAGTTGCAAATATGGTTTCACCTTCGAAACATTAGGAGGATAAACAAACTAGAACTTGAAGAAATTACATTGTACATATGAACATATCTTTGCCAATTTGTTTTCAGTAGACTTCTCAATCTATGAGCATTTGGATAGAAAACAAAAACTACTTACCCAATCAACCAGGGTATAATTTGGATCGGAAACGGGCGCATCTGTCGCTTTTTGACCGCTAACCAACTCCAAAAGGAATATGCCGAAACTGTATACGTCACTTTTCTCGGAAAATTGTCGAAACTCCTTTACCCTGGAAAATAGGACAGAAGTTAAAAGAATGCAATAAAATAAAAATTGCAGTGCTGATGGAAAAAGCAGGAAGTTTTGGAATGAATACTCTGGAGCAAGGAATATCTCATCCGCTGTTGCTCGAGATGATGATTCCGAAATATCGGTTCTTCCCATGACATTGTAAAGTCCTGCATCTGCTACCTTAGCAATAAAATTCTCGTCTACGAGAACATTGGATGTCTTGAAGTTTTTGTGTATCAAACGAGGGCTCATGGAGTGAATATGAGCCAGACCTGCATATGATAATCGGGTCAAGTAACCGAGAGACGGGTTTCTTGAAATCGATTCATAGATAAGAATTTGGTTTCACCATTGATATATTTGATGGTTAGTCAATCTACAAGAGATGCAAATAAATGCTCACTGTTTGCAGAGGTTCACCTTTAGCTGCCCCCAGAGCTATGGAGAGTCTGATCTTGAACTCTAGCCTCTCAGCCGAAAGCTGCTCAGCACCTTCAATAACCCATGTTTTTAAGAGTAAGTTTAGGATAACTTCTTAGAATAGTGCTTTTACGCGTTAGGACCACAAAAAGTTCATGAGGCAGCTGGATGGAACGTTACCATATATGTGGCTAGAAACGCTTCCATTCGGTATGTAATCGAATATGAGAAACTGTAGATTGTTTTCCTGGCAGTAGCCCAAAAGAGTTACGAGATTTCGATGCTGAATAGACGAGAGGTAGTGTACCTGATAGTGAACAAACTAAATTAGATTAAAACATGAGTCGAACATATATGCAAGTACCTCTCTTTCCAAAAACATGAAACGAAGCCGATCACCGACTTGTGAGGCAGAATGAGCAACAGAAGAGGACAGGTAACTGTAAAGTGAAACTCTTGGTTTAGCATTTACCCATACATGAAAGTTCAAAGACAATAAACAAGTGAAGTTGTATGCAATTTAAGTGTTAATTTAACATGAGACTATAACAACCTCATCTGAACAGGATCTGCTCCATAGGTCGTACTCGTACCTACGTGTTCTCAAGTTCTAAGAATAGGTGATGGTCAAAACATAAATGGAATAAACACACCATAGGCTGAGTGAATAGCAGAAAAGATACTAGATCATTACATTGTTAGCTAAACAAATGGGAGAAGTGAAGAAGAGTTTGAATCAAAGAACTTCAGAAACCGACTGAAAGCACGAGGAATGAACAAGATATCTGCGAGGATCTCGTGTAGTCATTTCAAATACTTCTTACATTCATGCTCAAACTATGCATGTTGAGACAGGTAACAATGCCGTTGAGCGCTTACAGACATTAAATGAATATTACCTCATCCACAAAATCCTGACTAGGCGCTCCATGCCGCTTTTTGATAGCAACAAACATTCCATCATGAAGCATGCCCTTATAGACCTCCCCGAACTTCCCTTCTCCAATCAAGTTATTTTCGCTGAAATCATTAGTCGCTAACGCCAACTCCGCCATCTCGAAATGCCTAGCATCCCGCAAAGACAACTCGATCCCAACATGTCTTCCCACTAAAAGGTACAAAAACACAACCAACTGATGATCATCCTTTGGAAAAGAGAAGGGGAAAATAAAATAAACAACGTGTGATACCCGATAACTTGGGCAATGAAGACGAAAGATGATACCTTGAACAGAAGGATCAGAAGAGCCAGTCTCGGAAGTTCGTGCAGCATTTCGAGAGCGTGCTATGAATCTTATAAGTATAATAAGCAACCCCACCAATGCCACGGCTCCTGCAGAACCTCCTAATATTGCTGCAAGGACGCTTGACATCTCATGTGGGTTCTTCCCTTCACCGGTGATTCTTTTTTACAGTATAACAATTACTATGCACACTATAATACATTGAATCTGGAACACAACAGAAAAATACATCACTCAAATCAAGTACAATCATGGGGCCAAAATCAAACAAACTCCCACAAATTAAAACGCCCTGTTTGGTTCGTGATCCGCTTTCATTTCCACATTGCCAAAAACAATGAATACTACAGTGTTTGAACACAAATTATTGGATCAGAAACCAATCATGTGCCTACTACTTAAAAGTGTTCGATATCAAAGCAATTCTCACAATCTGAAGTTCAAGCTACAGATATAGCGAAAAATACATCACTCAAATTAGGTACAATCATGGGGCCAAAACTGAAAGAAACTCCTACAAGTTAAAAGTCCCCATTAGGTTCGTGATCTGTTTTCGATACTTATGTTCGACGAAAAACAATAAAAATATGTTTGGTGTCACTTGTTTTCAAAAACCATTTCTGGAACATGTGTGTCTAATGCAGTGAAAATAAAGCATTCTGCATTATTTGTTCTTCGAAAACAAATTTTCGGATCACAAACCAAACCATTGCCTACCTAAAGTGTTTGATATAGGAGCAACTCCAACAGTCAACCACAAGAATGAGGTTCAAGCCATAGATCTTCATTATTTCCACCTCCACCCCCTTTTTTCAATTTTTTTAGCAAGGGAATGAACATCTAAATTCAGCAAGAGGAAGAGATTGAAGAATTGAAGAATACCAAACACACATATAATGGTGTTATCATCTAGAACTTCAAACCTGAAATCGTGGAGAAACTATGGAGGAGGCAGATCTTCTGGAGGCATTGCGTCATTTGGAAATCGGAAAGTGCAGAAGCGTGGAGTGAACCCGATGAAATTCAACCCACATTCCGAAAGCAGAAGAAGAATCTTAGGACTACTAAGCCAAAAATGGCTTATCAAGGAGCTCAAAATCGCAAAAATGGAGTCCGATCATCGGCTTCCTGCAAATGGCGAGAAGCCAAAATCGAAAGAAGAAGAAGAAGATGACGAAATCGCCGAAGAAGAAGAAGCAGGAAGCAGCAGCAGAAGCAGTGGCTGAGTACTTTTTTGGTTAAATTAATACGAAATGCATCATTGGATACAGACAATGCCGACAGAAAGTGACCTCGCGCCGACAACAACTTCTCAGAGTTTTATTGCTTCGTTTTCCCCTCCACCAAACCAACCCAATTTCAAAATCGTCTCAAACCCCCAAAACAAAATCAAAAACCCAACAAAACCCACCAAGAACAAACACTCGATTAAGCAAAAACCAGATCAAAAACCCGACTACCTTTCAAACAAAACAATCAGAGGAACAAAACCCATGTGGCCAAAACAACAAAAAGAGTGATAATACAGAGAAAGAGAGAGAAGGGGGGCTTACAAAGGAAGAGAGAGAGAGAAAGGGGCAATTGAAATTAATCTTGGGGAATTAAAATTGGGATGTTGTTGAGTAATGGGTGGGCTGTAAAGCAGCAAAATAGTGTTGTCTGGTACTGCCAAGTTGAAAGACGAATAGGTGGGGGAGGGTTCATTTTGCTGTATCGAGTAGTACAGAGCATTTTGGCTGTGTTTTTGAATTCTTCCACTTCACAATCACAACAGAAGAGCTTATAAATGAAACCACCCCCAGAAAGCCAAGAAACAGAGAAACAAACATAGAAAAAGGAATAATCAAATCACTCAAATCATTACCCATTTTCCAGCTTGCCCTCACGAATTTAATTAAACAAGAACATCAACAACAACAAAAAAAAAAAAAAGGAAGAACAGAGAGAGAGATTCGAAGCTGTGGGGTTTGTGGGGTAAACGATCCCCACCAGCCAGCTATGTTGACATTGCTCCGTCCCACTGACCCAATTTGTTCTTTTTTTTTTCAAAAGAAAAAATTGGAAATTTATATTGAAGAAACAAACAAGGGAGAGAATATGCAGCGCGTTAGAACATACAAATGCTTCTTTATTTGTCTTCGTTTTTCTAATTTTCTTGTGATAATAAATAAAGTTTGAGGGAATTGGACTGTTGTTCTTTGGATTCAAAGGTTCTTACAGCTATATAAATTACGAGGATGAGTGGATAATGACACAAGAACTGTCCAAATTTTGTTGCAGAGGAGAGAGAGAGAGGGAGATTTTTGTGTGAAAACAAGGTTTTTCTTTTCTTCTTTTTTTTTTTGGTTTTGATGTGATGAATAATTCAAATTTTTTTGGAAAAAGAAAATATATTGGGTTGAAATTAATGTAAGTTTAATCATGTGCTATCAAAATCTTTTCAAGATTGAGACACATGAACAAAAGAAACTCCATATTAGAATTATGAGAAAGACACTCCATGAGCTAACATTATTTTATTTTCTTTTCTTTTTGAAGAATATATGAATTTAACTGCTCCTTAGGGGAAAATTATAATTAATTTCTAGTCTAACCATGTAATTATAAATTATTACTGTTGAATTTTAATGTTGAATTTTAATTTCGATTAAGTATACTTTAACCGGTAAAGTATTAGTAGCTGTCAATCTAAGCTTAGCTCAATTAATGAAGGCAACAAATCTTTGTTTTTGTTTTGTATTTATTCTTTTTTTATTATTATTTGAGTACATGTTTTGTATTTATTCTTAGTTAATTTTCACATAAAAATTAATTAAGCAATACATAGATACATTAAAGTTATTTTTTATATGGAAATAAGGTATTTATTAGGGTAGATTTTCAATCTAGTATGATTTTAATTAGATGTACTAAAAAAGAATTAGATATCACAAAAATAGTTGCTAATGGCGAAAATCAGAGCACGACAAAATAGTTATTACAATTAATTTATATATAGGTTAACGACATTGAGTATGATTAAAATTATAATGAGTACAATCAAATTGAGTTGGGTGAAAATTGAGCCCACCAACATGAGTTTAACTTAGTGGTAATTGACACATATCTCTGATCAAAATATTCTTAGTTAGAATCTTTCCACCCGCTAATTACCTTTTTAATAGAATCGTCTTAAATTTTTAAGTTGAGAAACTAAAAAAGACTTTAAAAAAATTATATATATAGTTCAAGTGGAAATCAAACTATTAACCTATGAAATTGTAATAAATATTTTATCTAGTTCAAATTGGAAAAGATTTTGAAAACTCAAAATAATTCTTAAAATTCAATTTCAAAAAGACTAAAATTGATGAGTTATGAAAGAGTATAATGTTGAAACTTCTATATGCTCCTCAAGAAATTGATTGAGACTCAACCTCTTCAATCAATGAGTAAGATTTCGAATCAAAATTTATATTTAAAAAGAACCTAGAGATTATAAATATCCAAATAACAATAAAATTCACATTTGTCGTACCAAATTTATTTTAGAGAAATTTCACTCAATGGCAAATTTAATTTCTAATTTTTGAAAATGTAATAATTTTGCTTTTCAAATGGGTATAAATTTAACTTTTTGTGGGACGTTTTGAATCATATTTGATTTTTATACTGACTTGAATAATGTTATTTTGTAAAGTCTTGAACTTTATACCATATTTGACATTTAGGATGATAATAGGAATCTAACATCATCTTAACTTAACTATGCTTGAATTATATGTTTTATTTTATTTATGTAAAAGTTTATTTATTTTATTTTTTGAAAATTTATACCTAAAATCTTCCATTTTGAGTCAACATAAAATATATTATGATGATTAGAAAAAAAAACATAAATATATAATGATATTAGGTAAACTAAAAATTTTACCTTTTAACTACTTCTCAATTTTATACTTTAATTTTAAAATAGGTTTAAATGTATCCTTAAAACTTTTATTTGTTTTAAAACCATCTCTTGTGTCAATTTTGTAAGACAAAAACTTTAATTTTAAGAATTAAATTTAAAATTTATATATATTTAAAGGAAAATAGTAATAATTTAGGAAAATCTCAGACAACCCATCATATTTGCAAAACTTTTCAATATTGTAGATTGGAAGAACAAAGGCAAAGCTATATATATATATAAAGAGTTAAAAGTAAAATTTTTAAAATTTGTTAAGTTGTAATATAAAATATATAAGATTAAGCTAAAGAATGCAATTGCTCCCCTCCTTCATTCAAAGGGTATCTAAGAAAGAATTGAAAAGTTGAGGGATAGGTTTGAAATTTTCAAGAGTTGAAAACAAAACTAAAATTTCATACATAATGTGGGTGGGAAAATATATATAAAGTAGCTTTTTATTTTATGGTATATGCACAAGTCAAAGTAATATTTTATCTCTTATTTTGTTAATTTTATTTGTAGGATTTTATTCATGGAAATATAATTAAACTATGGCTTGTTACAAAATAAATAAATATATATATATATATTATAATTCGTATATATATATATTTTTTTATAACTCGATTGATGGTGAAAATTTGAACCTCTAACTTTTTAATAGAGAATATATATCTTAACCAATGTTCAAATTGACAATAATCTCCTTATTATTAAAGTAAGAGTAACAAATTGATCTATACATCTCTATGATTGATATTAAACTAATATTTGAAATCAACTTAATTTAATATTTCATTTTATATACTCATTTGCTTTTATTTATGCATCATTTTGAAATTAATTTATTTTCTATATAATAACTTTAGGGAAGCTAATATGATTGAACAAATCTACTATATTTAATTTGTTTTCTTGGTAGTATTATTAGTGATATCAAATATTTTATTAAGTCATGGTTAGAAAAATGGAAATAGAAAATCCTTTGCCATTAATGCAAGCTGATTCACATATAAAACCTAGTAGTTGGCATTGCACTAGGATGTAGTAAATGAGTTTGTCTTTTTTTTTTCTTTTCTTTTTTCAAATATAGTAATGATTTAGTTTTATATTATATAAATATTTTTTAAAAATTTCTTGAGTAGTTTAATAAATGTGTATGGGACAGAACTTTTCTGACTTTAACGAAATTAATGGTGTCTTATCCACTAAACTATGTTTGCAGTGATAAATTGATTTATATTATAACATTAATTTTCATATAAATTTTTATACATGACAGTAATTACATCTATAGATATCCTGAATAAATTTAAAGTTCACAGTATTACAATTGAAACATGGAGCACATTTGAATCTTTGACCTTTAAGAGAGGTTACTCATATTTTATTGCCAAGACATAAATATTACTAATTTGACCTATAAAAGTAAATGATTAATGTTTAATAAGGATCTCGAAGATAAATAGAATTTATATATAAAATACATAGTATATCAATTAATCATGTCACTACCACAAAAAAAGTCGCTTTGGTACCTTTTAAGATACATCTAACTCGGAGAATTTGTGATTTGTCATAAAAGAAAATAAGAAAACAAATAGGACTAACTCATTTTTTGAAAGAAAATAAGAAAACAAATAAGATTCAAACAAATTGCAAGACGAGTTAGTCAAACTGACTAATCTTTGCCCATCAAGTTGGCCCCACAAGAGTAGGTTGAGTAGATTTTCGTCTTTTTTTTACGACAACCGAGAGTGGGAAGATTCGAATTCAAGATAAGTTTTTACTACTAATTGATTTTTGTCAGATGGGCTACCTCTCTAGAACCGGTTCACTCCTAATAACATAGGTGATTCCTGATAACGAAAAATCTCGTTTTATAGTTGAAATAATTTGAGTCGTCCAATAAATATCAAATCTTTCTACAACTCAACAATATTGTGTAGCAATAAAAAGCCTAAAAATACGGATAGAAGATGAATAGGTGTGAGGGGATGGAGAGCGCATGAGAGTGGTCCTGCCTCTCTTTCTTTGTTTATAGCATAGGGAGGAAAGCTTGAAGAGTTAATGTAAAGGAGAAAGGGAGAAAAACTCAAGAAACCAATAAAAGATTTAAATTACTTCTTGTGTTCGTCGATCTGCATCAACTGATCATAATATAATGAGTTTAAATTTCTTTTCGTTTGGCATTTAGTATTGTTTTTACGTGATTCCTCTGCAATATTAAACCAAAATGCTAAGTACACACTCCAATGTGTTCATGTCCAAAGTTTTGCCATACGTCAAACACTAGTTTAAATTTGATACGAGCTGAACATGTCGGGATAAGAGACTGAACTTACAACTTTTAAAAATTAATTCGAACTAAACACTTATTTTTTATTATTTTTTTAGTACAATAAATGTCGAGATAAGAGACTAAACCTCCCACTTTAGCAAGATTGATTTAATAGTTGAGTTAAACTCGTTGACAACCACCCATTGCTAGAACTTATAAGCATGTCATGAACTTTTGAAACTCATCTTTATTAGATCCAAATACTGTGAAAATTCTAGATTAGGATTGAAAACCAAAATAAATAAAATTACAGTTTTGCCTAATAAATTCCGGATAATAAAAATTATGCTTAATAAACCAAGATTTCACAATCTCATTTTGTGTCTAATAGGGGAAATCTATGGATTAGCTTTGGAATAAATCGCAAAATTCAAAGACTAAAATGCATGGATAGACACAAAATATGAGATCCGTCAAATTAAAGAATACAAACTTGTAATTTAACCAAAAAAGAAGTTACATACCAGGTAGATTGGCACCATTAGATGAGCAAAAAGTGATCCAACTCCTCCTAATATGAGTTTATAAAACAATTCAAATACCAAAAATGAAGGCAATTAAGCCTGCAAGGTTTCCAAATTACAGTGAGAATTCAAAAGTTACTTAAATCAGGGGAGAAATATTACAACAAATTTTATGTGCTTGTGCCATCATATATATACTGCCCACAGTTAAAAATGTGATAATCAATAGCTAATTAGCTTTTGGGCGGTCGATTCCTCTTCTCCTCGATACCCGACTGAGAAAATCTCTGACGCAGAATTTGAAGAACATCCTCCATCTCTACCTCTTTGACTGCCAGGAGAACCATGGCATGATACAGCACATCTGCCATTTCCGAGGCAGTGCGAGACTTATCCTCATTCTCTTCCAACGTTCGACACAACTCGTCCGCTTCTTCCCTATCAGAACCAGGACAAGTACTGAAGCTGTCAAATGCTAGGGACTGGAACATGGGACAGAAAGAGATTTACTAGAGAATGTTATGGTGCCACAATTAAAATTTCAAATGTAGTCTGGTAAACAAAATGTCAATTTAAAATACGATACCTGATTTTAGAGCAGAGCAAGTTGTTGTCAAGCAACAGTCGTCTCGTCCACGAGGGCTTACCATTTTGTGGAACAGCTATTTCCACTTTGCGTTCGGAGATTGTGGACTCTAATGAGTACAAAGTAGACAAGGCCAACTTATGGTTCACCTCCTACAAGAATTAATACACAATTATAGGTCAAAACAATCTCATTCTCTTAGTTATCCATAAACAAATCTGTTAAAGCAGCAGACCTGTTGACTCTCCATCAAGTCATCTAGTGATGTATAATAGCATGTCTCGGCTCCAGTATGACAAGTAGGCCCATCGGGCTTCCCGAGATAAATGATCTAACAATCAGTTTTAAAACTGAGTTAGCTATGCACAGTAAACCACAATAAGCTGATGTGATTGTTTAGGTCGCTATCGGTTAGAGCCATACAGAATCACGATCACAATCAATGAATATGTCGTGAATGTTTATGAAGTTATTAGAGGTCTCTCCCTTTGTCCACAGCTGTGATCGCGATCGACTGTAGAATGTAGCCTTTCGTTGGGAAGCAGTTGTAGCAACAGCCTCCCTATTCGCAAATCCTTGCATTAATATTGCTCCTGTATCAACATTTTGAGCTATAGCTACTGCCAGACCTTTGTCATCCCATTTCATGCTGTCTAACAGCATCTCAACCTGAAACATACAATTGGATATATTTGAGTGCAAGGATAAACTAATTAGAACGAGGGGGAAAAAACAAAGAAAGAAAGAAAACCAGAGAAAATGCCTGAACAATGTGTTGTTAAATTAATCATAATCATAAAATTTTGATTTAAATCCCCTTTTGATCTTGAAGTTCTCTTTCTATTTTTATTGGATAACCCACGAGACAAGAAAGTTTGATTTTGAGACTTATATAAGTTGGTATAGCCAAGAGACCCCAAGACCTTACCCAATGGGACCTCTGAGTAGGTCTGAATGTAATGATCAATTTTCTTATTATTAAACAAAACTATAACTTCCACTTTCTCTCTCCCCCTCTCCCTCCATCTTCTTCGTTCTCTCTCTCTTCCCCCACTTACAGAACTCCTCAGACCCCCACCCTTCAGCATTAATTAAAAATAAAACAGGAGTGTAGGACATGGAGCTTTATTTTAAAAAAGCAGATGCTCAACGGGAAACAGAATATGAAAGAATAAGCCAACACAATAACAATTCAACTAAATTGGAATTATTTATAATGTGGAGTCCAGATGTAGCTCAAATAATAATTAAAAATATATTATTGGGCAACGATGAACACCTTAAGGAGAGTTTGGTCTAACCTCCCCAATTAGTCTTCCAGACACATAGCGGGCACTACCAAATGAACAAGATAGATTCCTTACTAAGTCTGGTAAATTCTTCATGATACTGTGTATCAAAAAAGGGTGTTCGATTTGCATTCGAAAGAGTACAGAGCATTATTTTATCAGGATACATCACAACTTCTTAGCATTTTGTCTTAATAGCCTTAAGCAGAGTGTGTAAAAAAGGGGGGAACCACAATAAAATGTAAATAAAATTTTTATAATGAAAAATCTATTATGAATAATAAGATAACAAAAATAGCTCGACATTTTAGTAAGAAATTAAACAGATAAATGGTCTTTCTTTCAAAATTATATTTTAATCTCTATACTAAAATTTTTATGAACATAATGACGGGGCCGCACAACACCTCATTGTGCTTCAGTGAGTTTCAGGAGAGCTTTTATTATGAAAACTTATGAAACCCTGAAAATATACCCTATCTTTGGTAAGATACTAAAATGAAATGTAAGGTCCCAGTGTAAATCTACCAACCTTCAGAACATGGTTTCTCAATTTCTATCCTATTATAACCTATAGACCAAAGTTGACATGGATACCCCAGATACTATTCAAAAACCACATGCAGAACACACACCATTACTACATCATGCAGTAGAATCATGCAGTAGAATGTGCGAATAGCCCTACAAGATCAATTCAACTGAGCTGGAATTACTGGAAATACATAGAATGTGGAGTCCAGATGTAGCTCAAATAAAAATTTGATAAATATTATCGGGCAACGATGAACACCTTGAGGAAATTTTGATCTAAGTCTAATCTCCTCATTCATATTCCAGACACATAGCAGGCCCTACCAAACGAACGAGATAGATTCCTCACTGGGTCTGGTAAAAGCCAACATGACACTGTGCATGAAATAAGTTGTGGATATTTCATTAGAAAGAATGAAGAGAAATATTGTATTAGGAAACAACCCCACTTTAAAAATGTCTACTTGAAGAGACTTTGATCTAATCTCCCAATTTGTATTCCAGACACATAAGGCCATATCAAATGAACGATGATAGATTCCTTACCAAACTAGTAAAATTATCCATGACAATGAGCATAAAATAATATATATGGTTATGTCATTCAAAAGAGTGCAGCTCAATATTTGATCAAAATGTCTAAGTACCTTCATCTGAAGTGAGAGGTCTTTTCCAAAATCGCTCGTCGAGGCAAAAGCAGGACCACATCTAAATTTCCTGGAACTGAAGTTGGTGGAAACAAAAAGACGTTTAGCTGGGGAGAATCTCAGAGACTGACAACCAAAATACGAAGTCGACATCGCAATATCTGGAGCTCAAGAATTTCCCTACGATCTACTCTAAGAATGCACTGCCCTGCAACAACAATCAAAACTCCCATGAAAGGACAGAAATGGATTGGAAATAAGAAATCTGCGAACATTCGACAGGAAAAATGCAAATAAGAATTCCGTGGAAGATGAATGATCAAGTCCAAAATGAGAACTCAGTATCTTGAAGAAACCTTAAGAAGAAAACGAGTGAAAGCTCATATTTTCAGCTCGACCACAGCGAAGCTAGATGAAGAACCCTAAAATCACCGTGTTATATAGCAAAAAAAATGACCTCTATTGAAATGGGCTTGCCTAAAACATTGTGAAATGAAATACCAAAGTGTGGTTTTTTTAGTTCCTCAAAATATAATATTTACTATAATTTAATTCTCACTTCATGTATTAAAATATTTCAATTGTGTTCCTGTATTAGGGGCCGTTTGTTTCGTGAGAATCCAAGATTCCTGTGATACGAGCATCTAGATTCTCATGTTTGTTTTGAGGATGCCTGCGACATGGGAATCATCGAAATCCATGTTTCAAAAAGACATACAAATCGACTCTGATGCCTTCCATATGGGCAATACCCAAGATACCAAGTATCTTACATTACCGCAAAACATTGGAACCTTTGAGGATGCCCTAAACATTGGAACCTAATGCTTTCCTATATATTGGATGGTAGATAAAAGTGTTTTTTATTATATGTAATAGATAAAGAATAATAAGATTTTTTAGTGTGTATATATAAAGTCATGCTCAGGACAAATGTGAGATAGTTTTTTGAAATAGTATCAATATCGTTTTGAAGAACCTTTTGACACAAAAACAGAACAACCCATTAAACAAACTCCAAAAGCTAAGAATCTGAAAATGCTTTTTTAAAACAAAATTGAAACAAGGAGCCAAGGACAAACAAAAAACGCATATGTTTAACAACAAAAGGCTCAAACGAGTGGACAAAATCAGCAAAGGTTATTATATTAAACATCAAACTGTTCAAACATGTGTGTAAAAGACCTTAATGTTGACTTTTCATTTTTGTTTAAATTCGAACATGCTGAGGAAACAAAAAGACACGTTTAAGTCACAAAGGAGTAACTTTAAGACATGCTCACGACACACGTGAGATAGTTTTTTGAAATAGTTTATCTCCATCGAGACAACTTAAAAAAAAAAGACACGTTTGTGCATGGTTCTTCTAAATTTCGGGGCATTGGATAAAAAATAAAAACGCTGAAATTTGAACAAAAATATTCAGGGCATCAAATATTATCCACCGATTGAAAAGGTTTGAGCATTGTTTCTCTCCATTTCCTGGAGCTTTCAAGTATTTCTCTAAGAATCCAAAACAAATAAGTTATTTTCATAACTCTTCCTCAACAAATGTTATGGTTTCTTCTACCCGCAAGTTATAAGTTATAGTTGCCATAATCGTTTACTAACTTCCTATCAAACCCTTTTCCCAGAAAACCATTCACCGCACAATTACTGCAAATTCTCAATCGTAAATCCCTTCACACCACAAACAAATCAAAAGAAACCCGGGAAAATTTCCTAGAAACAGAGGCTTCAAATGTATCGATTCATCAAGTCGTCTCTCTGCAAACATGAATCCACACACTCGAAAACGTCTCAACAACAGTCAACAGCCCAAAAATCCCCTAAACATTCTCCACTTTGCGGTCATACAATTGTCGAGAAACAACCGAACAGATATTGAAGAAAGAAAAATAAACAGATCCGAAACGAAAGATTGTGATGCGGTGAATCGAGTAGAGGAGGAATGAGAACTCACCATCGTAGGAGAAAAACGGCGAACGAGGGAAATCCCAGAAAGGCTATCAGAGTTCCGCACGACTGCAGCAGAGGAAGAGACGAAGAACCCTAAAACCTCTTATGTTATATAGTGAAGCATTAATGGGCCCTTTAAATGGGCTTCCTGCGTTTTCTTTTAAGGGCTTTTGATTGGATACTTAATGGGCTTTATAAGTAACGTGGAAATTGGGCTGGTTGCACCTCGTTATTAAATAGGGAGAATGTAAGGTTTCTGGAGAGCTGTTTTATAAATTTATTTACACAAATGTCTACAATTTTTTAATTTTAGATTTTTAGATTTTTGCATGTATGATTTTATTTTAATTTAATTTTACATGTATTATATTTATATTTATTATAGTCTCAATAAACATATATCCGCATATTCAAAAAAATATATTCAAAATCACAGTATATATCAACTTATATATATGTATATATATATATTCAAAATCACTATAGTATATATCTACATATCCGCATATATACAAGTTGAGTTATGAGATGTATCCACTTATATATCTGCATATATACATTCAAAATCATTATAGTATATATCCGCACGTCCACATATATACAAGTTGAGTTATAAGATATGTCCTAATCAAATCACTATACTATATATCCTCATATATACAATATTTCACACGAAACCAGAAATTGAGAACATTCACTAGAATGCAAACTTTTCAATTTGGAGATGAACTGCTATGGCGACTGAGAAAAATGGAGGCGATCGGAGATGAAGGCAGGCAGACGTCGGTCGAAGATGAAGGCTTTCAGAAACGACCGGAGAATAAGAACTGACGGAAATCTCCTTTCGAAGGCGGCTGGAGATGAAATGCTCTTGCGACAAAGAAAAGCGGAGCCGGTCGGAGAAGAGGGCAGACATCGACCGACAATTGGAGAAGAGGAACGAAGGGTCAGAAGAAGAAAGGAAAAACGAGGAAGAAGAAAGGGTGAGTTTCGAAAATGGATGGCTTTTTGGGTTTTGAAATTTTTTAATTTTGAAAATTATCATTAGTACATGTTAAGGGATTTGACCTCCCAATTTACCAATTATATATTTATGATCACGTTTCAATTTTATTATAATCTAGTGATCTTCAACACTGGTGATAACTAGGTATATATATACATAAAATATTAATCTTTGTTTTTTTTATTAAGAACAATTACATTAGTTTTTTTAAACATTTAAAAAGAGGTTGAGAAAAAGATACCAACATAAATATTGCTAGATCAAATAGTTGATGTCTATTAAAAACATGTTTATGTTTAGTAATTGAGTAATAATTATGTTGTTGTAAATCCTTTTAACATTTTTATACTTTTAACTTATATGCATCTTGATTCGAGTAATTGAGTACGTTCTAACCACTTGATATTCTCACATCCCACCATTTCACTTATACATGTGTGTTTAGTTATTCATTGATAACAATAAAAATAATTGTGATCGCAAGTTAAATAGCAATTAAGATATGTTAATTTCACCATAAATATATATCTTATTTCTAAAAGATGAAAAAAAGACTAATTACAAATTTTAAGCTAAGTTTGTGAATTTAGAAAATGGTTAACTATTTATTTTAATAATTATCAATAAACTTTAGAAATAATAAATAATAAATAATTTATATTTTTGATAAATATAAATAACTATAACATTGGATAGATGTTCGAACTTATTTAATTAAAGTTAAATTAATAAATCACGTGCCTTGCACGTGTTAAAAAACTAGTTAAAAAAATAGCTAACTACATTTGTATGAAATTTTGTGTGAATTGGGATTTTTTTTACTATTTAAATATTTTTGTAAATTTTAATTCTCATAAATTATTAGCCACTAAATGAGGGTAATTAAGTCTTTTTTTGGGTAATTATAATTATCTACTCTTCCTTTTTTATATGTAGTTTGATAATTCCGACAATGAATATCGAACCATAACATTTTTAATGATAATGGGCAATCTTATCACTTGGTTATGATCAAATTGATGATAACTCTACTTGTTAACTTATCTATTAAAAAAGTACATAAAATAGAGATAGCTGCAATAGGGATGTCGTATTTTATACCACAACCCTACAGGTCCTATACTCAAATGGCACGGGAAATCCTTATTTAAATTCCTCATGATGTGGATAAAGAAAGTTTCTTTTTTTAGGGGACGGGACAAATAATACATTTTTCGTCTTTGTTCCTCGTCCCGCCTGACTTTTTATATATATTATATTAAAAAATCTTATTATTCTTTATCCATTACATATAATAAAAAAAACACTTTTATCTACCCTCCACTATATAGGAAAGCAATAGACCATGTAAATGAAGTTTATCATCAAATTCCTTATAAAAAAAACATTTAATTGATAAATAATTGTAAAATAAAATAATAAATAGGACAAAATTCTCTGCGTGGACGGAACGGGAAAGCCCACCCAGACAATGTTGAATCCGTACACAATTGAGTCGATTTTGTTTATTAGATATACAAAATCGTTTGAGGTAGAAGGGAAAAATAGAATCTTTTGTCTTATATAAAGATAGATACAAATCGTCCAATGGGACGACTTAATTTCTACCAATACGCATATTTGACATTCTTACTTTGATGACCTATACTAAAAAGTCTAATGTTCAAATTTCTATCACCATGCCATGATGTTAAAGTAAATAATAATAATAATAATAATAATTTATGTTTTTTAATGTTAATTCATTTTATTAACTATATAAATAATAATGCAGGATGGATGGAATGAGTTCATATATCAAATAACACAACAACGATGTGTTGTCTAAGTATGTCGATCACATCATGATTTATGATGTAATGAATTGTATTTTTAAAAATAAATTTTAACACGTTTTTTTTAGTACAACTTATATGCTAAGCTTTGTTTTATTGTATTTTTTATTTTTAATATTTCACTGTTTACATCTTCTATTTTATTGTTCTAATTGCTAATGTTTTTTGAAGGTCAAATTACAAATTTAGTGTATAAACTTTTTGATTTTAGTCTAATAGGTTCCAAACTTTAAAAATTGCCCGCTAGGTCATTGAACTTCAAAGTATATAATAGATAGCTTAATCGTCGATTAACGGATCTATTAGGTATGAAAATTAAGTTTATTAAAAATATATACTATGTTTTTTTTTATAGATGTGTGAATTTTCAAACGTCAACCAGATATATTAGACATGATATTTAAAATTCACAAATCTATTAGATACAAACCTAAAAGTTTGAGGACTTAATCTAACCATATATTCGTTTTTAATATAACATAGCAAATGTTGTTTGGTTAAACAACACGTAGGGGAAAATCTTCAATCTTATGGTATAAACGTAGCTATATTTAAATTGACAAAGATCCATATCAACTACTAATGGTCGTTAAATGCAACAAAAAAACAAAATTTATTCACATTCCACGTGAAGCTAGTTTACTTGATACAATGTGACTAATAAATAATAAAAGCCAATATTTAGTTTGATACAAACGACTAATATAATCAACCAAACAAAATAATTATGTCTGTTCTAAACAAATGTATATTCAATGTGTAACTTCATTTTGTCAAATTATTCACTTATTTATATTGCGTGATGTCGCGTTTTCATAACGTCATGTCAAATCAATCAACATTTGTTCAACAAACATGTAATTTCATCATTTAGTAAATTGTGTTAACCACGACATATAAATATCATTTAGGGGCAGTTTGTTTGGGAATATAGATGTCCGACATTTTCAAATGCCTGAAATTTCAGATATCTGAAATTATAGATGTCCAGCATCTTTAGATGACCATCTTTGTTTTGTATGAAAATATATAAGGATGTCAAGGAATATATGGATAACCATGCTTATTTTGCCGAATTTATCTCTTGGAACATTCTCAATTTATATAATGTTTAACAAATGTCGTTATAAATATTTATATAATTTATACATTACTCTAGTATAATTTGTATTTATATAATAGATTTTCTTAAAATTAATTTAATATTTTAGGTTTTTTATATTGATTACGTATACGCATGTATTAATTTTTGTATATTAGTAGAATTTATATTAATATAAGAACTTTTTTAAAATTAATTAATATTTAATATAAATTTCATTTTCAACTTTAATATTTCTAAAAAATATCATTATATAGTTAATGTTATATTTGATGAAATTCATTTATTATATTATCAAATTATACGAAGAAGAATATAAAAGGTAGGATAATCGTTAAAAAATATTGTTTTAAAAATATTATTCATAATAAATCATGCCAAATATTAAAAGTAAATAGAGATATTATATAATTTAATTGAAGTTTATTTTATATGTACGTATAATACATAAATATACATAATTGCTTATTAGTCGATAGTACATTAATTTATTTAAATTATAACATTACAAATAAAATTTAAAAAATTTGATAAAAGAAAATATATGAAAAAATAATGAAGGGACAAAAATGTCAATATAGGATGTCTTCGATATGGGAATCACAGAAACACATGTTTCAAAAAAGCATCCAATCGACTCGGATGCCTTGCATATGGACATCCTAAAATATTCGGACACCTCGAAATATCCAAGTATTTTACATTACTCCAAAACAAACGTTGGAATCCAATAATACAATTGAAATATTTTAATACATGAAGTGAGAATTAAATTATAGTAAATATTACATCGCTGAGGAACTAAAAAAAACCACACTTTGGTTATTTCATTTCACAATGTTTTAGGCAAGCCCATTTGAATAGAGGCCTTTTTTTTTTTTGCTATATAACACGGGAGATTTTAGGGTTCTTCATCCAGCTTCGTTGCGGTCAGGCTGAAAATATGAGCTTTTACTTGTTTTCTTCTTAAAGTTTCTTCAAGATGGTGAGTTCTCATTTCGGACTTGTTCATTCATCTTCCACATAATTCTTATTTGCATTTTTCCTGTCGAATGTTTCACAGATTTATTATTTCCCATCTATTTTCGTCCTTTCATGGAGTTTCGACTGTTGTTGCAGGGCAGTGCATTCTCAGARTAGATAGTCAGATATTGCGATGTCGAACTTCGTATTTTGGATGTCTGTCTCTGAAATTCTCCCCAGCTAAACGTCTTTTTGTTTCCAACAACTTCGGTTCCAGGAAATTTAGATGTAGTCATGCTTTTGCCTCGACGAGCGATTTTGGAAAAGACCTCTCACTTCAAACGAAGGTACTTAGACATTTTGATCAAATATTGAGCTGTACTATTTTGAATGACATATCCACATATATATTTTAATTTTACTAGTCTGGTAAGGAATCTATCATTGTTCATTTGATATGGCCTTATGTGTCTGGAATACAAATTGGGAGATTAGATCAAAGTCCGTTCAAGTAGACATTTTTAAAGTGGGGTTGTTTCCTAATACAATATTTCTCTTCACTCTTTCTAATGAAATATCCACAACTTATTTCATGCACAGTGTCATGTCGACTTTTACCAGACCCACCCAGTGAGGAATCTATCTCGTTCGTTTGGTAGGGCCCGTTATGTGTCTGGAATATGAATGAGGAGATTAGACTTAGATCAAAATCTCCTCAAGGTGTTCATCGTTGCCTGATACTATTTATTAAATTATTATTCGAGCTACATCTAGACTCTACATTCTATGTATTTCCAGTAATTCTAGCTCAGTTGAATTGATCTTGTAGGGCTATTCGCACATTCTACTGCATGATGTAGTATATGAGGCATCCATGTCAACTTTGGTCTATAGGTTATAATAGGATAGAAATTGAGAAACTATATGTTCTGGAGGTTGGTAGATTTATACTGAGACTTTACATTCCATGTTATTAAGCTTACCAAACACGGTAGATTTTCAGGGTTTCATAAGTTTTCAAAATAAAAGTTCTCCAGAAATTCACTGTAGCACAATGAGGTGTTGCGCGGCCCCTTCATTATGTTCATAAAAATTTTATGAACAAAGATAGATTCCTTACTAAGTCTGGTAAATTCTTCATGATACTGTATACAAAAAAAGGGTGTTGGATTTGCATTCGAAAGAGTACAGAGCAATATTTTATCAGGATACATCACAACTTCTTAGCATTCTGTCATAACAACCTTAAGCACAGTGTGCCACAATAAAATGTAAATAAACTTTTTATAATGAAAAATCTATTATGAATAATAAGATAAACTTTTTGGTTCCTCAAAATGTAATATTTTCTGTAATATAATTCTCACTTCATGTATTAAAATATTTCAATTGTGTTCCTATATTTTAAGTGATATTTATATGTCGTGGTTAATTACACAATTTACTGAATGGTGAAATTACATGTTTGTTGGACAAATGTTGGTTGATTTGACGTGACATTATGAGAATGCGACGTGACGCGATATAAATAAGTGAATAATTTGACAAAATAGAGTTACACATTGAATATACATTTATTTAGAGTGGGCATAACTAGTTTGTTTGGTAGATTATATTAATCCTTTGTATCAAACTAAATATTGACTTTTGTTATTTATTAGTCACATTGTATCGAGTCAACTAGCTTTATGTGGAATGTGAATAATTTTTGTTTTTTGTTGCATCTAACGACCATTAGTAGTTGACATTGATCTTTGCCCATTTAAATATAGATACATTTATACCATAAGATTGAAGGTTTTCCCTACGTGTTGTTTTAACTAAAAAAAACATTTGTTATATGTTATTAAAAACGAATACATGGCTAGATTAAGTCCTCGTACTTTTATAGTTGTATCTAAAAGATTTGTGAATTTTAAATATTGAGTCTAATATATCTCGTTGACATTTTAAAATTTACATATCTATATGACAAAAAAAGAAAAGAGAAAAACATGGTATAGATTTTTAACCAACTTAAATTTAAATTTTATATCTAATACATTTGATGATTAAGCTAGCTACTTTTTACTTTAAAGTTCAATTACCTAGCAGACAGTTCTCTCTTATTAATAATTCAAAACAAGTCTATAATTTATTTATCATCATATTATATATAATGTATCACTATTCTATTTTAGAAATCACATTGACGTTCAATAAATTTGACTTGCACCTCATTCCAAAATTTATAATTTGCATAGATGTAATTTTAATACAACTTTCTGACTATGCAGGATAAACACAAATATTAATACAACTGACAAAATATATATGTTTGCATTAATATTTACATAGTTAAGAAAATGAATGCACATATGTGACGCCGACTAGAGAGGAGGGATACATGAATGAACAGATATCATATTCGAATGAGAGAGATCCTGAGATCATTGAAGAATGATCAAGAAAATGTTTAAAAGAATTGATAGTCACTGCCTATACTAACAAGGTGCACCCTCATTTTCGATGGCTCAATTGGTTAATGACCTCCTAGGAAGCATGTGGGTGAGGACAAAACATGCTGAGATGACTAAGGTTGGTTTGTAGGGATAGTCAACGCTCTTCTAAGTAGTTCAGAACTAAACGATAGCGCATCGGGTATCGAATTCGGATAGCATATATCTCAACCTATGTTAAAATAAGGATGTCCAATATGTGTATTGATACAAATTAAGTCATCCCATTTTTAGACAATTTGTATCTATCTCTATATAAGATAAAAGATTGATTATTACCTTCTACCTCAAACGATTTTGTACATCTAATAAACAAAGTCCATTTAATTGTGTACGAATTAAACATTTAATGGTTAAAGAGAAAATTAAACTGATTTTATATCACCAGGAGTAATTTTAATTACGATACTTAGTTGACATTCATAAAAAGTATCTAATGAATTATGAGTTCAATACATCTTGTTTAGCGGAAAGACGGACATTCCTTACTCATTATCAGACAATCACTTATTCACAAACCTCATGTGGGGCTAATAGTTTTCATTTCCCATGGAAAACCCTTTTCGCTCCGCTTAGCCCTATCCCCCTATAGGGGTATTTTAGTGATAGGTTCTATAAGAATGGGACGATCCTATTTGGTCAAATACCTAATGACAAACTCCTATCTTCCTTTCATTAGAGTATTTTTGAACAAGTTCATGGATAACAAGCCTAAGGGTTTTCTTATTGATGATAGTGACGATATTGATGATCATGCAGAGAAAATTTTCCTATTTATTATTTTATTTTAAAACTATTTATCAATTAAATATTTTTTTATAAGGATTTGATGATAAACTTCATTTACATGGTCTAATATATATTTAATGGGTAGATAAAAGTGTTTTTTTTATTATATGTAATACATAAAGAATAATAATATATTTTAATGTGTATATATAAAGTGAGGCGGGGCAAGGAACGAAGACGAAAAATGTATTTTCTATCCCGTCCTCCAATAAAATTATCAAACTATATATATAAAAAAGGATTTTTTTTAAATATGATTATCCAAAAAAGACTAGAAAAAGAAAAAGTGATCAAAGACTTGAAATCAAGCCATCTCTATATTGAAAAGTAGGCTTACCACCACTATCCCAAAATAGTAATTTTGGATAATTTAGACACATGTGATTCCTTGAAAATATAAAATGGCTAAGAAAAGAAAGAGTGACATTACAGAGACTTAAAATCAAGATATTCATATTAAAAAGTAGACCTATCACCACTATACCAGAATGATAATTTTGGATAATTTACGCATATGTGATTCTTTGAAAATATAAAATGTCAGAATTAAAAAAAAATACACATGGCACCAACAAGACGCCGAACAACTCGAAAACGTGTAGTGACATATTTTCCAAATATTATTATTGGAAATAGCTTGGGATTGATATATATTAGGAATAAGTTTGAATTAAAGCATTATTAAAAAAATCCATAACGAGGTGCAACCAGCCCAATTTCCACGTTACTTATAAAGCCCATTAAGTATCCAATCAAAAGCCCTTAAAAGAAAACGCAGGAAGCCCATTTAAAGGGCYCATTAATGCYTCACTATATAACRTAAGAGGTTTTAGGGTTCTTCGTCTCTYCCTCTGCTGCAGTCGTGCGGAATTCTGATAGCCTTTCTGGGATTTCCCTCGTTCGCCGTTTTTCTCCTACGATGGTGAGTTCTCATTCCTCCTCTACTCGATTCACCGCATCACAATCTTTCGTTTGGATCTGTTTATTTTTCTTTCTTCAATATCTGTTCGGTTGTTTCTCGACGATTGTATGACCGCAAAGTGGAGAATGTTTAGGGGTTTTTTGGGCTGTTGACTGTTGTTGAGACGTTTTCGAGTGTGTGGATTCATGTTTGCAGAGAGACGACTTGATGAATCGATACATTTGAAGCCTCTGTTTCTAGGAAATTTCCTGGGTTTCTTTTGAGTTGTTTGTGCTGTGAAGAAATTTACGATTGAGGATTTGCACTAATTGTGCGGTGAATGGTTTTCTGGGAAAAGGGTTTGATAGGAAGTTAGTAAACGATTATGGCAACTATAACTTATAACTTGCGGGTAGAAGAAACCATGACATTTGTTGAGGAAGAGTTATGAAAATAACTTATTTGTTTTGGATTCTTAGAGAAATACTTGAAAGCTCCCGGAAATTGAGAGAAACCATGCTCAAACCTTTTCAACCGGTGGATGATATTTGATGCCCTGAATGTTTTTGTTCAAATTTCAGCGTTTTTATTTTTTATCCAATGCCCAAAATTGAGAAGAACCGTGCGCAAACGTGTCTTTTTTTTTTAAAGTTGTCTCGATGGAGAGAAACTATTTCAAAAAACTATCTCACGTGTGTCCTGAGCATGTCTTAAAGTTACTCCTTTGTGACTTAAACGTGTCTTTTTGTTTCCTCAGCATGTTCGAATTTAAACAAAAATGAAGAGTCAACATTAAGGTCGTTCACACACATGTTCGAGCAGTTTGATGTTTAATATTATAACCTTTGCAGATTTTGTTCACTCGTTGGAGCCTTTTGTTGTTAAACATATGCGTTTTTTGTTTGTCCTTAGCCCCTTGTTTCAATTTTTGTTTTAAAAAAGCCTTTTCAGATTCTTAGCTTTGGATTTTGTTTAATGGGTTGTTCTGTTTTTGTGTCAAAAGGTTCTTCAAAACGATATTGATTTGCTGAATCCTCCTGCTGAGCTTGAGAAGAGGAAGCACAAGCTCAAGCGTCTGGTGCAATCACCCAACTCGTTCTTCATGGTATGAATTTGCTTCTGTTTTAACTCAATGCCATTTGTTATAAATTTAGTCTATTTATAACTGCTACCTATGACTATATCCATCAAATTTCAGTTTCTGGCGATTCTTTCTTAGAATCACGCAGATGCTTAGAATTTTATAATTAAGTTTTGCCTTGATTTATATGATATTCTGACATTGTCGTGTTGGTGGTATGAAGGATGTTAAATGCCAGGGATGCTTCAACATGTAAGTGCGATCACCTTCATTAGTATGTTGTATTTTCAAAAATGTATTGTGCCTGAGGATCCCACGTATTTAAAAATCTCCTTTGTTATGTTTGTCAATGAAATGCAGAACCACTGTCTTCAGCCACTCTCAAACTGTCGTTGTATGTGGTAACTGCCAGACCGTCTTATGCCAGCCAACTGGAGGGCGTGCCAGACTCACCGAGGGGTGTTCTTTCAGGAGAAAGGGCGATTGATGATGATGAGGTCTCCTTGTTTTGTTTTATTGAGAAGAAAATGAAGTCGCTGTTTTGATCATGGTATATTTATCTTTCTTGTACGCTATCAGACTTGATTATGCTGTCTCTCTTAAATAGATTATATTTGGCTCTAGAGTTATCTGGTTTTTTTGTTTAAAAGATGAATTTTTATGTACTGAACTGTTAGTTTCATTTAGTAAAGCTTAACTTTCTTTTATCTATTGCTTTATTGTAGTGGATGGTTGTCATCTTAGCATGAGTTTCTACTAGAATCACTCATCTTGTTGGATTATGATTCTAATTTATAAGCTCATCTAGTGATTTTGGTTATGAATTAACTCGTTAAATTGTACCAATATAAGATTATTTGTGGGGAAAAAGGACTACTGTATGCAGCAAAGACTTTTTTCCCCAAACAGAAGTTGAAGAAAATGCAGAGAAAATGCTTTCAAGGTTTGCAAATTATTTTGGCCACTGAACTTGACTTCTTTTTTTTTTTTTATTTTTTACTTTATGTTTGTATAATTGAAATGTTTTATATGATTTTAAGCTATGAGAAAGTTGGGTACAGGATGAATATTTGTTTTAACTATGTATTCAGCTTGCTATGAAGTTTTAAGTTTTTTAAAAGTAGTTTCTTTTTAACTAAGTTGGTGAAATTGATAAGATTTTATTATCTTTAATTTCATATTGTTAAGAATTTTTATGAATTGAGTTACAGACGTCTTAAATTTATTTTAATAGAAGATGACCTCTTTATCTCATAATTTGGTCACAAATATTTTTATTGAAAGGTCCAAACTTTCCAACTTAGGAAAGATATAAAAAATGACCAAAGTGACCCCATTTAACAATAAAAATAATGCCACCCCATGTATATATAGAGATCAAAAAGTGCTTTTAATTTAAAAATCACTTTTGGCATTGATAAAATCACTTTCTCTTCGTAAATTAAAAAAATTAATTTTAAGAAAGTTTAAAATTACTTTAAAATGATTTTTAATATTTTGAAAAATCAATTATACAATCTATTTTTTCAAAAACACTCATCCTACCATCACTCAAATTTTCAGCGTCATAACTATCAGCGTCATAACTAGAGGATAAACAGGTCTTTGATTTTATTATCATTATTATTTTGATTATTAGAACCGCATTATGATAGCTACTCCTTGAGTTCAAATCTCACTTGAGACAAATGCTTAAACCTAATGCTAAGATTATTATAATAACAATCTAATTAAGTAGGAAGCACTAATGGGGAGGTATGGCTAATAATTAGCCATTGAAAAACTTTTATAAACAAATTGCAAACGTAGTGAGTGTGAAGCACATTACTCCAAATCCCAAACATCTCCCACTTAACTCTTCAACTAATGCAATTTCAACATCTAACTATAAAGTTCAATTTAATTTCTTTTACATCAAAATATTTATTGATTTATTTTTCAAATTCCTTTAGGTGTTTCACCCCACTACTATACATGCATTAAAAGACTAAATATAATATTTTACTCAATGATTATCTCTCTATTGTTTTCATCTTTTTTTTTCTCCCTCAAATTTGTAGGGATTAAGTATCCTTTTATTTTCTTTACTTTATTTTATAAAGAAATTCTCTTTTATCTATCTATACACAGAGTTAAAATATTATGCTTTGTTGGATAAAGATTTTGTTTTTAGTTTTATGTTATAAAAAATTATGCTTGTTTTTGCACAATTTCTTTGGTATCTTTTTTACCTTTCTTCAAAATACATTTGAATTCTTAACCAATTTTTTTTTTAAAAAAACAAGTTTTTAAAAATTATATCTTTTCTTCAAAAAATTTCTTAAATTTGAAAAGCTTGATATCAAGACAAATATATATGGATAGGCGTAATGGTCGTAAGCTTAATTTTAAAAACCAAATAATTAAATATAAAATAGTTATCAAAGTGAAGAGCGAAAATAATTAAGAAAATAATGGAAACAAAAAGATCTAATGTACTTCACATGGGATTTTCATTACTATGTTGCAATTGTTTCTATAAAGTGACCTACTTGGTCATTTTAAAAAGTACAAAGATGAAAAGATAACATAAAAATAAAAATAAAAAATAAAGTAATAAGTTGCAAAAAGAAAATTTTAAATTGGTAACTTCATTTTTATAATATTTGTGAATATATATATAAAGAAAATTATAAATATTGATATTTATAACTTTATATTTTTATCTATTTGCTATAAAAAATGTGACGACCTGAGGATTTGAATCTCCAACCTCAATGGGATGTATAAAACTCTCTCCACTCTGTATTTACATAATTATTGATTAGCTTAGATATTGGCCAATAATCAATAGAAAGATCGGTTTCTATTTGACACAAAATTTAGATCCGTTAATTTTAAAAATGTCAAATAGGTCCAAGGTCAATTAGATAAGAAATTGAAGTTTATGAATCTATTAGTCAAACATTTAGGAACTAAAATTGTAATTTAACATAAATATTTATTATAATAATTAAGGAGGAGGACATTTGGTCAAAGATAAGTAATATTAATTTGAATTATAATTAGGATATGGAGTAATGGCTATGAAGCTACTCATCGTTTTCCTCAAAAGAGAGCCCTTTGTCCCTATATTTGTCTTTTCACATGCAACCCATCCACATAGAGTTTATTTATTTATTTATATATATTTTTGTTTTATTGATTGACTTTTTTGGGTTCCTTTTATTAATTTTAAAAATGACTGGGAAATATCTCTTTTAATTTTATTTACTTATGTATGTGTTAACTTATAACCACACCATATTTAAATCAAATTAAGTTTAGAACATAATTAATGATTGCATAGGAACTTCAAATGGAACCAAACATGAAATTAATTCAAAATATGAATACAACACATTTGAATCTTTGACTTCGAGAAAAAGTAGGTGTCTTATAGCATCAATCATAATCTTGAACAATAATTTTGCCGAACAAGTTACCAAACAGCCTCTAATTAAGATCTCATTTCGTTTCCAAATAAAAATTGAGTTAATATAGATTTATATAATTGTTTTATGAAAATATATTTGTTTTATCAATCAAAATATCACATGTATTTATAATCTATTAGTTTGTTCTCGTGCAACAACACATAAGAGTCCTGGTAAAGCTATTGCAAGGAAGATTTCTCCTTGTATACGTACATATACAAATATTCCTCAGTTCATATGTATATACATATATATTTATTTATTTAACACTGTTGATAAATGAGTAAAGATCAAACTCTTTTATCCCGTTCATTTTACTTAGGGACTACTCGAACTTTACTTATAGCTAGCTTCAAAAACCGGTCCACACATGTAAATTCATAATCTCATCCAACCAAACGATACTCGTAAAATAAAAAAAGAAAAAAAAAGGGTAAGGTACTTCATTTAAAAAAAAACCAATGAATAAAAATGTGCCAATAATTAAAAAGGAGAAAAAAAGGGCATTGAAGTAAGAGAAGAGTGCGTGGAGCATATGATTGCTGAATTTATTTGCCTCATTATATTCCATCAGTCAAATTGGAAGCACATGCATGCATGCTCTTAGGCTTACCCCTATGTTAAATTATACTTTAATTAACATACCTAACTCAACCAACCCCTATGCTCTCTACTTTTCATTTTCTTATTATAAACTATATTTTTATAATATATAATATAAATTTAAATATTATTTTGATCACTGTAATTTCAACTTTAGTTTATTTTGGTATATGAACTTTCGAAACGTTCATTTTAATCCACTTATTTTTATTTTTTATCTAATCTCTCTCAATGATAATTTTAGCACAACGTTTAAATCACTACACTCCTTGAAATGCAGCCATAAATTTGTATTGAAGTGTTTTCATTATTTATAATATTTGTGTTAAAAATTTTACAAACAGAGACTGAATTAACCATATTTTGAAAGTTGGTCCCAGTCACTCTTCGGGACGGAATGGAAGAAGGGAGGAGATTAATGATCAAATTACTTCGAAAGAATTGAACGAGGAACAATATAAGGTGAAAATCTCATGTACGGTTCTGTAGAGTGCCTTGTATAGGTTGGGGAAGGGTGACTGAGATGTCAACTTTTTTTCTACTATCACCCCAAAAAACCAAACTTTGCCTTACGTAAAGTTGCCAGAGTACGCTTAACCTCTGGATTTGAAATCATTGCTTATATACCAAGTATTGACCCGAAACTAAAATGAACAAAAATTGAAAGCACACGAATCAAAATGATTATTTTGAAAGTAGATGAATCAAACTGAACTAAAATAATATTAATTTTAACCTTTTTTTTTAATTTTATTTTGTAGCATATAATATATGTTATTCTTCTTGTAATTATTCATAAATTTATTGTTTAGAAAACATGTGTATTATATTCTTAAAAGTTTTAAATAAATACACACTCTATCTTTATACATATAGCTATATTAGACTCTCATACATTAGGATCATTTTTATGCCTTTCTCTATATGCTCTATTTTAGGCTCTCCTGAAGATCAAAGAGCTAGCGAGATTTAGTGGATCTCTCTCAAACAAATTGAGAGAATAAAATAAAATAAAATAAAATACTGTATATAACTAATAGTACAATCTAACTAGCAATCTGAACATAACTCTCAATTGATAAAATATGTGTGATTCCTTTAAAAGTGGGAGGTTCGAGTCTCTAGCTCCCTCCCTCTTGTTGTACTAATTATAAAAAAAAAAATAGAGAATTCTTTTTTTTCTTTTTTGATTTTTCAAAATCGATGTAGTGTGGCTTACGCTGTTGGATCCCTATAACCGAGCTTGTTGCTTGGGCTGAAAAAAAAAAGAACTAGAGAAATTTCATTAAGTGACATAAATTTAATGTGGTATTTTCTAAAATGTCATAACTTTTTTTTTCCTAAGAAAATATGACATAAATTTGACTTTCTCTTCTGGTGTGAAGTTTGATTTAGATTCTACTATTTTGGTTAAAATTTGAATTTCTTGCCATATTTAAAAAAAATATATTTGTTTTAGGCTGGTTTAGGTAAATCCTTGCAAAAACTACTAGTTTTAACTTTTAAAATTTGATTTAAGATATAAAGAATATTTTGGAAAAGAAAACTAAAAACAATTATTAGTAAACAAACTTAAATCTCATAAAATTCAGCATCATTTAAAAATAAAATATTTAGTGGTTTAAATTTAATTTTTTTTCCACCATCAACTTTTATTGAAAGCCGGGAGATCTATTAAAAAAATTTAAAGTATTATACTTAATAAATTTGTAACCTCATTAAAAACATTTCACTGTATCGAAACTAGATAAGTAACGACAATACCAAATTTATAATTTAGGCTTAAATCTCATTTTGGCATTTCTTCTTTCAGATTCGTTTTTGTTTAAACTTTTAAAACTTCAATTTTTAGACCTTAAATTGGAAATAAAAAGAAAAGCAATCATTAAATGATTATTCAACTTTTAAAATATCTATTGTAATAATTGAATTTAAAAAATAAACATTTTTCGTAATTCCCATATAATTTTGTCATCCAAAAAAAACATCAACATATGTGACACATACACATTCACTTAAATATATTAGCGTGCATATATATTCAAAGCCATATTATTTATTTATTAATAACAAAAAATTGTAATAAAAATTAGTTTTTTAATCCGACTAAAATAAATATTTAAAAAATTCAAAGACTGAAATAAACATAAAATTAGAAGGTTGATGACTAGATGACTCGCGTATGTGCAACTAAACCAGTGAAATAAAAAGAAATCTCTAGTTTAATTTCCTTACAAAAATATATATAAAAGAAAGTAGAGAACGATAGGAGATTTGCACTATATATACCCCCTCTCATCACTCATCCAAATTTCAATACACAACAAAACGACACTCCATCTTCTTCTTCTTCTTCTTTCGTAATGAGTCCATCGCCGTCGAAGCCTAAGCGGAAGCAGCCGCCGCCGCCGCCGGAAACGGCGTCGCACCGTTTCCTTGGCGTTCGGCGGCGGCCGTGGGGGCGATACGCCGCCGAGATTAGAGATCCTTCCACCAAAGAACGCCACTGGCTCGGCACCTTCGACACCGCCGAGGAAGCCGCCCTCGCCTACGACCGCGCCGCCCGCTCCCTCCGCGGCTCCCTCGCCCGCACCAACTTCCTTTACTCCGACTCGCCGCCGCCGCTGCCGCCCTCCGCCGCCGTCTCTCACGGCCAGCTTCCGCCACCTCCCCTGCCTCCTCCTCTGTTTCTTCCTCTGCTTCCTCCAGATTCGCCGCCTCTCTTCGACCAATTCCCCGCCGCTGGAGACTCCTCGGCAAGTTTCTTCGCTGGATTCGACGATGGCGGTGCTGAGCTTCCGCCATTTCCTCCGGCAATTTCGTCGGAATCGGAGAATTATAATTATAATAACTGTCTGATGGAAACACAGAACATTGGTTTAGAATCTCTTGATCAGTCGTCGATGGGAATCGGATCGTACTTTGGATTTGATTCCGGCGGTGAGTACGTGCAGAGCCCGATCTTTGGAACAATGCCTGCGGTTTCCGACGCCCTCGCCAGTGATTTTGAGTCTCCGGCCAATTTCTATTTCTCCTAGGTCCTCAGATTAATAATTATTAAAAAAAAATATCAATATTTCTAAAAAGAAAAAAAAAAGACTTAGGATTAAGATTAAAATATATAATATAATGTAATGTAATGCATGCGCCATGCGGATAGTTCGACTCATTTTGCTTTCTTATAGTATGTTTCATTTAGCATTGGATCATAGTACATCCAATTTTAAATTCTCTAAGAAAATAATACTAATTAAATTATAATTCTGAACTAATTTGTTTTAATTTTGCCCTACAATTTTTAAATATAACTTTAACTTCGTAATTTTAAGGCAAATTACGTGAAGTAGTTAATTTTAGATAATTCTTAATTTTTTTCTTAACCTTGTTGAATTTTCAATTTTAACCTTAATGTATAAAAAATATCACTTATACTATTAAAAATAATTGTTAATAAAGAGATCCATACATTTTGACATGTAACTCGAATGAGATGTGGCATGCCTACTCGAATATAGTAATAAAATAATAATTTAACATAAATTAGATTTTTGGGCAAATTTTATTTGGAAAAAACCTAATTTAGAATTTTAAATACAGAGTAAGTTTTAAAATTGAAAAAAAAAAATTAAAATTGAGTTATAAACAAGTAGAGTCACTTTTATCTGTTGCCAATAAATATAAATCACTCCATATTTGTTTGGTATTAAAAATATATATAAGAACTCTAATGGTCAATATAGACTAACATGATCTACAAGATAAACTTATTACGTCGGATACAAACAAAGTTATATTCCATGTGTGATTTTATTTTGTTCGGATATTCACCTATTTATGTAACATGCTTACTATGTCATATTAAATCGGTCAACATTTGTTCAATAACACATGTAATGTATTTTATGGCAACATGAATTTAGTTCAACTAATCAAGACACGTATCTTCGACAAAAAAAGTCGTAGGTTCAAATCCTACTTGTTTCACTAAAAAAATATGTAATTTCATCATTTAGTCAATAATATTAATGATGATATAGAAATACTATTTAAATGATAGAGATATAGTACAGATTAAATTTATAGTCTAACTTTATTATTATACATGAACAAACAAACAAGCCATAAAAGAAATAAAATAACAAAAATTATTTCTGAATTATTCTTCAAAAAATATTGTTTAAAAATATGGCTAAATATATGTTGTAATCTTAGTTGGTGCGTTATCATTTTTTAGCTTAGTTTTCATTGTTTAAAAATTTTCAATATAGTCCCTTATATAATAACATTGTTTTAATTTAGTTTTTGCGGTTGGTAAATATTAAAATTAATTGACAATAATATGAAAATTTAGAAGAAGAAAAATGCTATATAGGATGAAACAAAGCTCAAATTTTTTGCAAATACCGATGGAAATAGGAAGAAATCATAAATTTTTTTCTTAAGGACATTTTTCTTCTAAATTTTCACAAATTATTTTTCGTTCATAAGTTTTAAATCTATCCACGGTGAGAGATTAAATTGAAACTTTTTAAGAAGATGGATTAAAGGGTAAAAAGCACTCCAAAACAAAAAAAAAAATATTTAGCAAAAAAAAAAGTCAAAATATCTAAAAATATGGAAAATAGTCGGAGACCCGACCCGACATATAAATATCTAATAAGAAAATTTGGCTGGCTTGCTTCCACGTACAGTCCAAAAACCCCTCCAAAACCTCCACATTTATTATCCTTCTCTCTGTAAATTTCTCCCACTCAAAAGCTTTCTCCCACCCCTCCAATGGCGGAATTTCAACCTCCGTTCCCATTTTCCTTCGATTTTCCACCTTCTTGATTCATTCCCCACTCCACTACCCCCTCTTTCTCACGCTATACTCTTCAATGGCTTTACTTTCACCCGCACCGGACGTTTCCACTTTCAGACCTCTAGTAGCCTTCAGACTCGGCTCATTTCCCAGGCAATGGAGGCTCTTCAACCGTAACTGTACTCTCCGACGCTGCCCTAAGCGATGCATTTCTGTCACTAATGTCGTCTATGCCGAAGATGTTATGGTTCCCGGCACCGCTAAATCGGCGAGGCGGAGAGAGCAAATTGAGCTTGAGCGTGACTCTATTTCGATTCTCAATGAAAGAGTTCGCCGTTATCATGGCAAGAGGGAGTCTTCGAGGACGGCTATGGACGCCGAGGAGGCTGACCGGTACATTCAGATGGTGAAGGAGCAGCAGCAAAGGGGGCTGCAGAAGTTGAAGGGGGATAGGCAGCGGAATGAGAGCGATGGCTTTAATTACAAGGTTGACCCTTACACGCTTCGTTCGGGGGATTATGTTGTGCACAAGAAGGTCGGTATTGGCCGATTCGTTGGGATTAAATTTGATGTTCAGAAGGGTTCTACGGAGCCTATCGAGTATGTGTTCATAGAGTATGCTGATGGGATGGCGAAGCTTCCTGTTAAACAGGCGTCTCGAATGCTTTATCGATATAATCTGTACGTTTGTTCGTTCGTTTACCAGCTTATGCATTCTGTTCACAATGGACTTTACTGAACTGCTGCTGTTGAATTATTCGTAACCTTCATTGATATGGTGGTCATCATTTGGTTTGCACACTACGATTTGTAATGGTAAACTGGTAGACGGATTCTTAAGAATGCTTATTAGGCAAAAAAGGGAGGGAACTATTGGAATTATGGGACATTGGATACATCTACCTCCTCATTCTTTTTAGCTTTTACTTGCTGCAATTTAGAGAATTGGATTTAACATTATCGAAAATCTAGCTCGTTACTGTTGTTTTAGATTTGATAAATATATGAATGAGTTAACCACAGGGTTCACTAGTAGTATCGAAACATATGAAGAAAATAAAGCGACTTTTGAGAGAATATATTCAAACTCTATAGTGGCTTCCTATTTAGAAAATTAAAATTTTATTATTTTTTTGATAATCAAATATGATAGGGTTAGGTGTCCTTTGAAATTAATCGGGGCATGTAAGTTGGCTTGGACACTCGAGATTAATAAAAAATTGCAAATGAGCTTGATCTTTAATCCATGTGGGATGGCCAATATTTCAATGACTTTAAGAAAACTAGGTACATGTACATCATTCAGCACTGTCAATCCAGATATGTCTGGAAATGATTGATCTCTTTAACATTTTTATATACTCAATAAATGCATTTAACTTTGCTGAAATCTTGAAGGTATTACTTCAGCTAAATTTATTGTTCATCTGGTGGCGCTTTTATCTTTTATATAATGACTTACTAGAAACTTACTGAACATAGATGAAAAGGGTAAGAAAATTATTATCGACAGTTGTTTGTACTATGGTTAATACTCTTCCTAGAGTTGGGGATTATCTGACCAAATTCATTCTGCTTCGTTATATTTCTGTTTAACTCATCCATGTTCCATTTATTTCACACATTCTTACCTTTTCAGCCCAAATGAAACAAAAAGACCTCGGACATTGAGCAAATTAAATGACACTAGCACGTGGGAAAAGAGAAAGACCAAAGGAAAGGTTGCAATTCAGAAGATGGTTGTTGACTTGATGGAACTGTATCTACATAGGTTGAAACAGAGAAGGCCTCCATACCCAAAGTGTTCGGCAATGGAGGATTTTGCCGCTCAGTTTCCTTACGAGCCTACAGTGGACCAAAAGGAGGTACTTTCACTCAAAGGCTTCTGCCTCTCCATCACGTGGATAGATGGAGAGGGATGGCAGAGCCTTCTAGGAATTTATCGATCTTACATAATGGAGCCAAATGAAACCAAAGTTTCATGTATGGTTTTGAATCGATTTGAATTGACAGCTTAAATATACTTTACTTCTCTAGACTGTAAGGTTGATTTCAGTTCAGTAAAAAATTAAAAATTTCAATAATATTCTCCAACTTTTCAATTGTTCTAAAAATATCCTTAATCCTAGTGTTCTGAAAAATGATCGGTAACATGATATTGTGCATTATATTTGGCTTAGTTATGCAAAGGGCATCTGGACATCTAATGACATGCATTTCATATTATAACGTATAGAAAATATTAAGTAGGTAAGTGGGCTTTCTAGATGTATTTAGTATGGGTCTGACCCAATTTCTTTTATTTTTCTGTTTTTGTCAGTGTGTCCTATTCTATTCACTAGAACATGATTTTCTTTTTCCTGCTCCGGTAAATTTGTGTCTGCAACTGCAAGCATAATGGGGAATTGGTTATCATGAGCATGCATATAAATATTATATATATATATATATATATATATTATATTCATATCCTCCTGTCCACCATCCTCGTATTAGCAATTGGATGCTTCAAGATTATCACTATATTTCTGTAAATACCTGTACCCAATGCGGCATTGCCTGTGTTATTTGAAGTTTGTGTGGATATGCATATCATTCCCTCTTCTTCTCGTAAAATGTCTGTTTTTTTGCAGGCTTTCAGTGATGTCGAGAAAGATTTGACAGAGAGGGAAACTCCTATGGACAGATTGATTTGTGGAGATGTTGGCTTTGGTAAAACTGAAGTTGCATTGCGTGCAATCTTCTGTGTAGTTTCATCAGGAAAGCAAGCTATGGTTCTAGCACCAACGATTGTCCTTGCCAAACAGCATTTTGAAGTTATCACTCAGAGATTTTCTTCATTTCCCGATGTCCAGATTGGACTTCTGAGCAGGTTTCAGGTACTGTTAGATGAAACTCTATTATGGGAAGAAGACGTCCCCTTATTAGTTCTAGTAAGACGGTAATGCAAAAGTTCTTAATAACGTTGGTACAAATGGCTATAAAAAGTATTTTGAATTTCTTCAATTATTTGGTGCATTCAGGCATGCCTTAAATATAAACTGTTAATTTTGATATAGTTGTCCTTTCATGATTCATCACATGAGTAAATTTCCACGTCTTTCTTTGCCTGCGTCCACATCTTATGGAATTTAATAATACAGGTTGCAAGTCTCAATTTCTGCATGCCAGAGTGGTATGAGCATTTTGTTTTTCTTGCATATCTAGCCACTTATATTTAAGATTGACAGTTGCACTTAGGATAGGACATTTTGAATCACCTTACCCTTCAGAGCTCATATTTTTCCTTGTTTTCAATCTAACAATCTTTAGTTAGGTCTCCGACATGTTAAGTTCTCATTCACTTTGATCAATTGTCTTTTTATTTTTTATTTATTAGGGCAAGTGGTCATTTATATGGTAATTGTCAAGCTTATATAATTCTCGTCATCTAGTCGTTATAATTCTTAAATGTAATTTTGTTAAATTGAAAATGTGGAATTCTTGGGTGTGATCATGATGTTTTCTTGATCAGTTTACATTTCTTTTCAAAAAAAAAAAAAAAAAAATTATCAAAGCATGCAGAAAGAGGATCCTTATAAAGTATACGGGGACTAGTTTCTTCCTTTTAATAGACGGTTTATATGTATGGAAAAAACCGGAGAATAGTCTTAATTAGTACGTTTAAGGCTCAAACCATCAAAGTTAGCAGACTCGGCACCAATGCAGCCATTTCATCTTACTTTTTTCTGTTATTCACTCTGAAACAGTGTGACTGTTGAATATTTATGATAACTATAGATATTACAACATGCAGACAAAAGCAGAGAAAGAGAAACATCTAGACATGATCAAAGAAGGTCAATTGGACATTATTGTTGGGACTCACTCACTCCTTGGAGATCGTGTTGTGTATAATAATTTAGGGCTTCTGGTTGTTGATGAGGAACAGGTCTTTTTGTTGTATCTCTTCTTAATTTGCTGTTAATCATCCTTGTCTGGTTCAAGAGTAACTTTCTTTCCTTCTATTCCTTCTGTCTCTCCAGAGGTTTGGTGTCAAGCAGAAGGAGAAAATTGCTTCTTTTAAAACCTCAATTGACGTTCTTACTCTCTCTGCAACTCCCATACCACGGACCCTGTATTTAGCTTTGACTGGATTTCGCGATGCCAGGTAATGAACCCAATGCATGTTAATCATGAGTGAAGATATCGCTGTATTTGTTGATTTTATAATAAATCTTATACCCCGTTCTAATTTATTTGTTATATAAGACAGGGAAGCTCAACCATATTATTTTTATATTTGATCTAACGATGGATAGTCATATTTGACACTTTACGAAATAAAGTCAATAAGCTAGAATCCTTGACAAGCAGAAGAAGTTAGTGATTGTTTTTTGTTTTATCCAATGTGAATCTCAGCGCTTCTTTTCTTCAATTTACTCTGGTACATTTTGTGAGTGTTTATAACTAATTTGGCCATAGACAGACCAGATAGTAGAAGTAATTCCAGTGTTTAATTTACTTTTAATATTATCTCATTCCTTAACATTAACTTTTTGTTACTACTGATCTTATCTATTTCGATCATGCATTTCACCAGGCTTATCTCTTTAGCCCTCTAATATGAGTTTTTGGGACTAAATCACTGTTTTTCTTTCCGTGCTTTAGCTTGATTACAACTCCACCTCCGGAAAGAGTTCCAATAAAAACCCATCTCTCATCATTCAGTAAAGAAAAAGTGAAATCAGCTATTAAATATGAGCTGGAACGTGGAGGCCAAGTTTTTTATGTTTTACCTCGAATTAAAGGTAATCCAATAACTATTTTTATAAGACTTAAATTGTACTGTACGCTCAAGAACTGCTATTATATGTACCATTCCTTCATGGCACTATTTATTTATTTTGACTATGTGTATATATCCGCACACACATTATGGTAAGAAACAACTATAACTGATACAGAAAAAAGGAGCTTCATTTTTTCTTAATTTATATTTTTTCATATTTAACAAAAAAAAAGATAAAAGGAGGCTAAAGGACTCTTCAGTTGGTACAGATGGTGGAAACTGGAAAGATTGTAGTTATTTCTGTCAAGAGAACACCAAGAGGATAGGGAAGAAAAGTAATAATATCCCAAATGTCATGTAATGTATTTTGACTTCTCCATTCTGGATATAATCACCAACATGTAATTCCTAAAGTTAAATGCCTTTGCATTTATTTATAAGAACTTCTGGCCGTTTTCTATCCAGTGTGGTAATGCCATAATTGAATCACAGGACTTGAGGAAGTGAAGGATTTTCTTGAGGCTAGTTTTCCAGACATTGAAATAGCTCTTGCTCATGGAAAGGTATTTTTATCCCTTTGTCAATTACGTGACGCCTAATGCCTTTATGTCTTCAAATAGTTGCTATCAGATACAACTTAAGATTTGGAATTGTATCTAGAATCAATTACATTGACTGGTGAGCTAGAATATGGTGCAACGTCAAAAACATGCTGTGCAGTTCATTCAAGTTTAAGGACTTACGGAGTTTGGTGCATAAATTAGTTTTTGGGGAACACTGTTTTAATTGCTAGATTCTACTTTTTCATGGGAAAGATTCCTGGTTCTTTAAGATATTCAACGAGACCACTCCACACTGTTTTGCAGGCTTAAATCTTATCTCTCGGTCTCCCATTAATAATTATGAAAAAGTACGTTTTTTGGAGACAACCAGTCATCCAATGTCTCATTTGAGGTCATAGCCTCTCATATTAAAAGTTGCATCAAGGATACTCAAATCCACAAAATCTCTTTTCCTCTTAGCCTTATACCCATCAACCACCTCATTAGCCTTAAGGATGGCGTCTACGATGCGCCCAACTTCAATGAACGGTTTTTTGGTTCTTAGTAGTTGGAAAATGATCAATTTTGTCTGGTTCAGTTGTTTGCAAGAACTTTAGAAATGATCTTGTGGAAAGAAGTAAACATGAAAAACACGCTTGCCATCTCTTACTTTGTTTGGCACTCAACTTCTTGGATATAGGCAATGTAGCTTTTATTAGAGCTAGCAGTTAAGATTCTCTTATCAAAGAAATTCGTGAATACTTACTTTAGGACGCTTTTGGGACGATCTCAATTTGCTTAATATGATACGGCCATGAAGCATCAGAGTCGAAAGGTTTGGATTTACGCATGGGATAAAAAACTGCTTGTCTAATGTCATCTTCCTCAAAGCTTCAATGGGGTTTAATTTAAAACTTTCACCCCTTGTTTAGGCCATTAAACTCCACATCCTATTTCCTTTTTCTTTTCTTTTTTCTTCTTTACATTTTATGTCTTCTCTAAGCAAAATGTCTTGAAAGATTGAAGGATCATACATGATTGAAACTAAGCTCACACGTTGACTAAAAATGTCAAGAAATTACTTTCTAGGGATATCAAAGAGACTCTAATTTCTACCACTTGGTCTCGCAATCTATTATGTCCAGGGAACCCCTTTCATATTCCTCTCCCGTCTCCCTCTCCTTCTAACTAGTTTTATTTTTTGTTCACTATACACTTAGATGCAGTGAGGTCTATGGTACCGTGCCCTCAAGCACCACCTTGTCCTTAAGGTGAAAATTTTGAAAATCACCAGGAAAATTGTGCTGTAGGTTATGAGTTGCATAACTTGTCGGTAAATCCTTCAACTAGATCCATAATCCCTCTGTAGAAACCTCCTTCTAGGTGTTTTGAATCCTCATTACCTCCATAAGTTCAACTTCCAAAGTTAAATTAGGGGTAAGTTGGCAAGTTGCCATGGAAGAGGCACCACTGAGTGGTTGTTGCCTTCTGTGTCTTCTGTTACCATAGTTTTTGTATCACGATTATTCTAGTTTTTACTTTAATCTGTTCCCTGCAGTTGGAGGAATTAAAAAGAAAGAAGTTTCATCTTGTCCTTCATGTTTTCTATGTCCCATGTTTGATGCTTGTACATGCGCTTGATGGTTCTTGTTAGGAATACCTTCACGGTTCACTCTTTGAGTATGTCTTAGCTGCATTCTGTACGTTTATTGTCATGTCATCCTCATCTCACTTAAGTTATATAATTATTATTTGCAGCAATACTCAAAGCAACTTGAAGAAACGATGGAGAATTTTGCACTTGGTGATATTAAGATTCTTATATGCACAAATATTGTTGAAAGTGGTCTGGATATCCAAAACGCTAACACCATCATTGTTCAGGATGTTCAACAATTTGGGTTAGCACAATTGTACCAGGTATTGCCTGTTCTTTCTTTTATTTCATTTTTGCCCAAATCTTCAAGGCAAATGATGTGCTTAAAAAATCATCACTATCAACATTTATGTGGAATGTGTATTTGTATATGGAGATTAAGAGATGATACTGATAAATGTTGCTGTTAGAGTAAATATTAGTATATTTTACATTCTTGTAAATAATATGTATTCATTTGTCCTTTACATTTCCCTTCTAGGATTAGGTCAACTTTGTATATTTATCTATATATATAGACTTCAGTAATGAGAATAAGATCTATCTGGTTCTCTCAAACCTTAGTTTCTACATGGTATCAGAGTTCTAGGTTTCGTGCCCATTAGAGTTTTGTGCCCATTAGGATTTTGTGCCCATTAGGGTTTTGTCCATTAGGGTTTTGTGCCCATTAGGGTTTTGTCCATTAGGGTTTTGTTCATTGCTATCCAACTCAACTCACTACCACTACCGCCGCCCGCCGCCACTGCTACCGTCGTTTGCTGATTCGCCAATGCTACTGTTTTCCAATTGCTATTCGTGGGTTTCGTCTCGCTGTCCTTCGCACTTCCGTCACCGCCAATCGCCTTCACCCCTCTGGTTGTCGTGGGGTAGCACTTAGGATTTCTGGTTTCAGAAAACACCTGGTCTGGTTCAAGCAGTCCGGTTCAAGAGGTCCAGTTCAACTGGTTAGTTCATCCTGTTCAGGTTCGGTTCGATCTGGTTCATCACATTCGGGTTCGATTTGGTTTCGATTCAATTGGTTTGGTTCGATTCCCTTTCCTCCAGATTTGGTTTGGTCTGTTTCAGTTTTTTTGTGTCCATATTGTTGAAATTATGATAGAAGAAATTAATGGTAACAATTTCTGCGGAAGAGTTTGCTGAATTCCAACAGCATCAAGAGTCATTGATGGCATCATCCTCTAATCTAATTACCATCATTGCTGATTCAGGTAATACCAATAAATGTTTTATTTCCTCCTCGTCAAAATGAGTCATTGACTCTGGTGCTACGAATCATATGTCAGGTAACCCCAATTTATTTGCTACCTTTTCACCATCTACATCTTTACCTGATGTTACAATAGCGGATGACACCAATTCTCTTGTTCTTGGCTCTGGCACAGTTCATCTCTCCAAAACTCTTTCATTGAACTCTGTTTTAAATTTGCCACAATTTTCTTTTAATTTGATCTTTGTCAGTAAACTTACTCGTGATCTCAATTGTTGTGTCTTATTCTTTCCTGGTTATTGCTTATTTCAGGATCTTACAACGAAGAAAACTATTGGTAAAGGGCGTGAATCTGATGGCCTCTACACGTTTGATAAACAAATACCATCAGCCACCGTTTGCACTCGAATGCCAACTTCTTTTGAAGAACATTGTAGTTTGGGTCATCCATCTCTCTCCGTGTTAAAGAGTCTCCATCCTCAATTTCATAGTTTGCACTCTTTAGATGTTAGTCATGTCAATTTGCTAAGTTTCATCGTCTCAATTCCTATCTTAGAGTCAATACACGAGCTAATGCCTTTTTGAATTAGTCCATTCTGATGTTTGGGGTCCTTGTCCTATTGAGTCAAATAATGGATTTCGGTATTTTGTTACTTTTGTCGATTATTTCTCTCGTGTAACTTGGTTATATTTGATGAAACATCGTTCTGAGTTACTTTCTCATTTTCATAACTTTCATGCTGAAATTCAAACTCAATTTGGTGGCTCTCTTAAAGTTATACGAAGTGATAATGCTAAGGAATATTTTTCTGGTGCTCTTGGCTCCTATTTAAGTGAACATGGTATTATTCATCAATCCTCGTGTGTTGATACTCCATCTCAAAATGAAGTTGTAGAAAGGAAAAATAGACATCTTTTCGAAACAGCAAGGGCCTTAATGTTTCAAATGCATGTTCCAAAATATTTTTGGACTGATGCCGTTTCGACGGCTTGCTTCTTGATTAATCGCATGCCTTCGTCAGTTCTTAAGGGTGAAATACCTTATCGTACTCTGTGTCCTATGCAACCTTTATTTCCTATTAAACCTAAAATATTTGGTTGCACTTCTTTCGTTCGGGATGTTCGCCCCCAGCTCACCAAATTAGACCCTAAGGTCATTGAAATGTGTTTTCCTTGGTTACTCTCGTGTTCAAAAAGGGTATCAATGTTATTGTCCTGATTTTAATAGATATTTTGTCTCGTCTGACATTACGTTCTTTGAAGATACTCCTTTTTCATCGTCCTTGAGTACCAGTCAAGGGGAGCAGTCACAAGAAGATGATATCTTTCTTGTCTATTCTATTGTCTCTACTTCTACTAAAGAGGTTCCTAGCAATACATCTCCCTTTGCGCCTGATCCTTCTCTCCCCACTATTACTCAAGTTTATTCTCGTCGGCAACCTCCTACGGACTCACGCCCTATACCAGCAGCTTCTTTGCCTGTGGATCCAAGAACGAGTGATGACTTTCCTATTGCCCTTCGAAAAGGTAAGCGTAAGTGTACTTATTCTGTTTCTTCTTTTGTTTCATATAACCATTTATCATCATCTACTTGTTCGTTTATTGCATCCCTTGAATCTGTATCTATTCCTAAAACTGTTCATGAAGCTTTGTCTCATCCTGGTTGGCTGGCTGCTATGTTGGAGGAGATGACTGCCTTAGATAACAATGGTACTTGGGATTTAGTGTCTCTTGCTGCAGGAAAGAAGCCTATCGGTTGTAAATGGGTGTTTGCTGTTAAAGTTCATCCGAATGGATCAATTACCCGTTTGAAAGCTCGCCTTGTTGCTAAAGGATATGCGCAGACTTACGGAATTGATTATTCTGATACTTTTTCTCCGGTTGCTAAATTGGCTTCTGTCAGATTATTCATTTCCTTGGCATCTATTCACCATTGGCCCTTGCATCAGCTTAATATTAAAAATGCATTCCTCCATGGTGATCTTCAAGAAGAAGTGTATATAGAGCAACCACCAGGTTTTGTTGCTCAGGGGGAGAATGGAAAGGTATGTCGCCTTCGTAAATCCTTACATGGGTTGAAACAAAGTCCGCGAGCATGGTTTGGAAAATTCAGTCAGGTGATTGAGAATTTTGAAATGAAGAAGAGTAAGTCAGATCATTCTATTTTTTATAAAAGATCTGAGTCTGATGTTATCTTACTAGTTGTATATGTTGATGAATATTGTGATTACTGGCAATGATTCATCATGCATCCTATCACTCAAGTCTTTTCTTCATAGTCAATTTCATACTAAAGATTTGGGAATGTTGAAATACTTCTTAGGAATTGAGGTAATAAAGAGCAAGAAGTGGATCCTTTTGTCACAAAGAAAGTATGTACTTGACTTGTTAACTGAAACAGGAAAATTAGCTGCTAAGCCACGTAGTACTCCAATGATGCCTAATTTACAACTTACAAAAGAAGGGGAGTTGTTGAAAGATCCTGAGAAGTATAGGAGCTTAATAGGGAAGCTGAATTACCTTACAGTTACTAGGTCTGACATAGCTTATCCAGTCAGTATTATGAGTCAGTATTATGAGTCAGTTTATGAGTTCTCCTACGATTGACCATTGGGCCGCATTGGAACATATTCTATGTTATTTGAAAGGTGCTCCTGGACGTGGTTTGTTATATAAAGATCGTGGTCATCTTAATATTGAATGTCTTTCAGATGCTGATTGGGCAGGTTCTAAGGAAGATAGGATATCAACTTCAGGATATTGTGTATTTGTTGGAGGTAATTTAGTTTCTTGGAAAAGTAAGAAACAAAATGTGGTGTCACGTTCAAGTGCTGAATCAAAATATCGAGCCATGATACAGTCGGTGTGTGAATTAGTATGGATGTATTAGCTTCTGGCTGAATTGAGATTTGGCATCACCACTCCAATGAAACTTTGGTGTGATAATCAAGCAGCTCTCCATATTGCATCTAATCCAGTATTTCATGAACGAACCAAACATATTGAAGTTGAGCTACAGGATATGTGAAGACTGGAGAGCAGTTAGGAGATATCTTCACTAAAGCATTGACTGGAGTACGAATAGATTATCTCTCTAACAAGTTGGGCATGATTAACATATATGCACCAACTTGTTAGAGTATATATTAGTATATTTTACATTCTTGTAAATAATATGTATTCATTTGTCCTATACCTTCCCCTTCTAAGATTAGGTCAACTTTGTATATTTGTCTATATATATAGACTTCAGTAATGAGAATAAGATCTATCTGGTTCTCTCAAACCTTAGTTTCTACAGTTGCAAAGAGCGGAACACTTTCTTTTCTATTGGCAATCATATCTTATTAGGTTCTTTTATGCTCCATGAACATGTTACTTTTTGGGGATGGAGCAAAATACTGAAATGGTTTTGTAAATATTGTGTTTCCTTTTATCTAAATTATGAACTTTATATTTTTCTTCAATATTTTATTATTATCTCTCTCTTTTACTCTTTCTCTCTAACATCTGATAGCTGCGTGGAAGGGTGGGACGGGCAGACAAGGAAGCTCATGCATACTTGTTTTATCCAGACAAGTCCCTGCTATCTGATCAAGCACTGGTTTGTAGTTTCATTGCCATCTCGTCTTTGCTCGTTGCAAACAATGTGGTTCTGCCCGTTTAGATTCTATTATGGGCAACTATTTCTTGGAGATTTTATTACCACGAAACTTTCAAATTCCTCTAGCGCCTATTACTATTTTTTATCATAATTTAGGAAAGGCTTGCAGCCCTTGAAGAATGCCGTGAACTCGGGCAAGGTTTCCAACTCGCAGAGAGAGACATGGGCATAAGAGGCTTTGGTACCATCTTTGGTGAACAACAAACCGGTGATGTTGGAAATGTGGGCATTGATCTATTCTTTGAAATGCTTTTCGACAGCTTGTCTAAGGTTTGTAATGATTCACCATCTTGATTTATATTTTGAGAGAGTAGCATTTGTGCTAATATGAAATACTCTGTCACATCAGCTTTCACATTGTAGTCATCCGTTTAGAAGTTTCCAATTACTCCTGGACTCTGGCATGTACAATGTATTATGAAAACTACAGATAACTCTTAAATTCTTTATTGGCCGAAGTGCCAACCTTATTTGTAAAACTAAGTGTTGAATTGTCTGATTTTTCTTGTTCTCATTTTTTCTTGTTTAATGATGTGAGAGCACGTGCCATCTACAGTTGATTAATTAAATAACTTTTGAAGCATGGGTGGGTCGCTTATTTCTCTAATTTTGGATTTATCATTCTTTTTCCATGAGTTGCAGGTTGATGAACACCGGGTTGTCTCTGTCCCATACCAGTCAGTTAAGGTACTTTCTTGATTGATGTCTGCCAATGTTCAGTGATCATGAATTCTCTCTTGTTGGTAACAAAAAGAAGCTTCGATTATTGAATTTAAGCTTCTAAAAATTACTACTTTTCATGGTCGTGAGCCAACTCTCTTCTGTTGACGGAGAGAAATTAGACGTCTTTAACGTGCAAATACAACTTGGCTGCTTTGTATCTACTGAAAATTCAGTTTAACCTTGACTGCTTGTGAAGTACAACTTGTCTTCTGAAGATATTTATGTATTTTCTTATTCATTATCAATATGATTCTCTAGTTTCTACCGTATTGTGTCTGATTTTTATAGCTTACTTACAGATTGATGTAGATATTAAGCCTCATTTGCCTTCTGAGTACATTAATTATTTGGAGAATCCCATGAAAATAATTAATGGAGCTGAGAAAGCTGCTGAGACAGACATTTGGGCTCTAATGCAATTTACTGAAAATTTACGCCGTCAACATGGAAAAGAGCCTTACTCCATGGAGATTCTCTTGAAGAAGCTTTATGTGAGGAGAATGGCAGCGGATCTAGGAATTTCCCGGATATATGCTTCTGGAAAGACTGTTTGCATGGAAACTAAAATGAATAGGAAAGTTTTCAAGTTGATAACCGATTCAATGACATCAGAGGTGCATCAAAATTGTTTATCTTTTGAGGAACATCATATTAAGGTAAGCATATAATATACCTTGCTATTTGTATCTTGATGATATCCTGTAAGTTTTTATTCTTGATCTTGCTTCTCTTTCCTTGACTCCACCAGAGCTAGGAAATGCGTCAAGGAGATGTGAAGGAACTCCCTTATAATTATAAAAAAAAAAAATTGTACGGACAAATATTAAAATTCTTTATAGTCTATGAACAATTTTTTCATACGAAGAATCAAAGAATAAAAGAACAATGATGGATCTTGGAGTAAACAAGGGTGGCAAATCCTGCCAACTCTCATAATTAAAAATCCTCCTATACCTCTCAAGGCAGACACTCTTCACCATAGACAAAGTATTAGCTCCTCAAAGAACCTCCCTTCTGTGCACAAGCCCCCCATTAGAAAAATTATTTAACATGGCCTGGCCTCCACGTTGTGTCAGCTACTCATACCGATAGATGCATCATGAAAAAGTGCTTTTTTATTTCTCACTCATACATGTAATAGTGTAAAAGTAGGAGTTACATTGTGTAAGCCATTATGAATAACTTCTACAGTTTGGCACAATACTGAAATATTTGACTGATGTTGCTATTGCTGCTTAAGACTAAATCTGCATTCTGTTAGTAACTGATCCATTTCGAATTGGTATCTTACTGTTTTCTTCTGTTTTTCGCTTCTATCCACTTTCCCATCACCTTTGGCAGGCTGGACTTCTCTTAGAGCTACCTAAAGAACAACTGCTAAATTGGATCTTCGAGTGCTTGGTCGAACTTCATGCTTCCCTCCCAGCCTTAATCAAATACTAGCTCTTGGTACAGCGGGTCTTACGATAATGGACATATTTGCTTAATAAGAGGTTTCTACATGCATATAACATCCATTTATCAGGCTTGTTTTGTTAAAAGCCTGAAATATAGACTTGGCCTCCAACGATCGCTGATCACGAAGCCTTCGACGTGGAAAATCTCAGGTCTTAGTGCATTAATCATGTCATAACATGCAGTACCAAGCAAAAGTATATTACATTTTGTTAGTAAGTTGGAACAAGCTGATGGAAATCACTCTAGAGAATTGTTTCAAGGTAAGCCCTGTGAAAACTCAAAACACTCTTGTTTTTCCCCCTCAACTAGCCTTTCTTTGAATTGATTTTCTTGTTGCAGGATCACAGGCTGGAAGTTATCTTCCCAGAATATCTAGCAGTGCCCCGGATCTGCTCGTGATACACGATATCGAGACTCGAGAATGGCTAACACTCCACTCCCCAGGTCACAATTTTTCTACTGCCTTGTATTTCTACAAATGAAGTTTCAGTGTTTGGTCAGGATCACAGTTCTGTTTTATTCTGGCCATAAATTTAACTTGTAATTCTTTACAAAAAATTTTATATGAAAAGGGGGTGTGTTGTAAAGAAATTTTCACTGAACCAACAAGCATAGAGTTATTTTTTAGTCACAGTAATTAATTTGGTTCCACCATATGGACACATTTGGCTACAAAATAGTGAAATTTTTTTATTTTATTGTACTGAATTGCGTGAGATACCTTTTATCTTTAGCCATTTATTTATTTTGATAGTGATTTTAATTTGTAAGAAAAGAAAAAAAGATAATTCTACTTTATTTATTTTGTAATGGTTTATATGGAGTGATAATAATTATTTTTTGGCATGTAGAACTATTTACACAAGGAAGATAAATTTATTGATTCAGTTATATAAAATAATGGATTGAATTATATTTTGTCTCTCTGCTTTTATGTGATTCTTCATGCCATTTTTAAAAAGTGGTTGGAATTAACTGTGAAAAATTATTTATGAATATCTAAAAATGAGTTTTATTATGTGATATTTTATTTTAATTATGGGAATGTGACGAGCTACCTTTTAAAAATATGAGTGAATTTAAGTTAAAATGTATTATTTTGACTGAAAAGCGAAGGAAAAAGTTACGGCTAATACTGTTTTGACCGCCATGAATAACTGACAAAATGTAAGAAAAAATGTTAATATTACGTCCACGATAGTAATATTTTATTGATATTTTTATATTAAATTTCTATGGTTGACTTTGCCTTTGCCTTTTTGCTATCGACTTGGACTTGATTCCACCAAATTGAGGCATCGACACATTTTCAAAGTATCATAAAAAATATCAATAAATATCACTATTATAGACATAATATTAATAAATTTTAACTTGTTAAAAAAAAGGGTGAAATGCTTACTTGTTAATTTAAATGTTTGGTATCCGGGACTAAATTATTGAAACTTATTAAATAATATGAGGACTAAATTGGAAAAAAAAGAAAGAAAGAAAAGACACTCGGCCAATAAGAACAAACTGATATTTAACCTTTAAACTAAATTGGTAAGTCCATCACTTTTTCTTCATTAAGAACATTTCAAGGAAAATTTGTTGACATCTTATAACATAATTGAATGTTTTGAAAGAATTATATAGAAATTCAGACCATGAAAATCACAACTTCAATCAAATCATAGGAATTCAAAATCAAAAGTTGACCCATTAAAAATGCTATTGAAATTAAACAAAGTCAATTTTTTTTAGTACAACGTGAGATGGTGGAGATTCGAACTCACGTTCAACAATGCTTTGTTAAATAGATCTCTTAGCATTTAATTATACATAAACAAAGTTTTTGCTTGTTTAGAAAGCAGTCTCTT